CCTTCTCTTTCTATTGGCTTCTGGCACCTTTCTTGTGCCTAAACTGTACATTGCATTATTGTTCATTGCAGACCAGATTGTGTATATATAGCCAGCCCCCTATAGCCTGGTCCTTTATCTTAACCTTTCTGACATTGTCTTGGGACCAGATATGTGCTTACTTACTATTACTATTACTATCACTATGATACTCAATATAACTTTGTCATTATCTTGGGACCAGTCTGTATAGTGTCTGCTCATACTTCTCTACCTATGCTTTGCCTAGCTACTTCACTCTGTCATTTTGCTTAGTTACTTTGTCTCTGCCTCTTTGTGACAGTCATTTAGGACCTAAAATTTGCTCAACCCCTGCCTGAAAATAGTGTCAAATACACCTCTTTAGGGACTCATGGGTGGGAATGAGTGCAAAAGGTAAAAATTTGACTTAATATTACATTTGGTGTACTAGTAAGCTAGTAAGCTTCTGAATAAGTACCAAAAATGGAAATTCCATACTTCTGGGAGAAATTTTGGACTACACTAACCCAATTCTTGTCCAAAATGGCATTATTTGGGCCCAAAACATAGTGTCATTTAGAGCATCTGGCCAGGTGAGGTTCAGTAGTAGTTTCCAGGGGCCTAACCTACTATCTCCCTTGTTGAATAATCAGTTATTTACAAGGTAGTGAGTTTCATATACATATTCTTACCATGTAGCTCTGATGAAAACTTTTGTTTGTAAAACTCATATATACTGTATATGTTTAATCTTTCTTCTATAAACAATGCTCTCCTCTTTTATCAATGTCATGCTTTGGATACACTACAGCTTTGCATTGCTGCTCTACAATAGCATGGTTTTACCTCATTTAATCTACTACATTAATGAGCAATGATTCTTCTTTTGTGAGTTTTTGAGTCATATACAGGCCTGCTCATTTTCTCTCTTGTTCTTTTCATCCACTATATGGTGACATTTTTAGTTTCTTTCTTATCATTGTACATGCTACATGTTATAATACCATTGAATAGTGCACCAGTTCCACCCTTGCCACTTGCGGCCTTACCCCCCCTCATTTTGAGAGTATGACACAGGATGCAAAAGCCATAGCAGTTCATTTGAACTGCCATTAAGACATCGCCCTAGGCAGCCGGCTGTGACTAGGTATACTATCACCATATTTGATGATATGTGCTCATTTCTGATTTTGATCGATTTTTTGGATCAATATTTGATTTGATTAATAGTATAGAGAAAAGTTATAAGTGTTGTAGAATTTCCTGATATCTAATTATCCCCTTCTCACATCAATGCCCATTTGCACCTACAGCAAGTGTAACAAAAAACAGGTTGAAATTGGAGGTATTTTGCAGCCAGGATGGGAAGTATCTTATTTAGTCTGCAGTGCACATGAAAAGCATGATACAGGACAGACTAAGCATATACCACATAGAAATAAGCACCATCCAGTACCAGAAACCTCAAAGGAGAGCTCTGACTTATCAAAAAGTATGTACATCAGCCTCATTTATCATCCTCTTATTAGCTGAAATCACTGCTATAAAGATATTGAACTACCTTCCCAGCTCACTATATCTTTTTGTTGTACACTGGTGGTCTGGCTCAATGTCAAGGCTAGTGATGTGCCGGCTGGGGCCCGGCTCAAAAGCCCCGGCTAAGGCTCAAATAGCCCCGGCCAAAGCTCATGAAAATCTTGAGCCGGGCCCTACATGAAAGCCAGGGCCCGGCTGGGTTCCGGCTCAAGCTTGGGCCCCGGCTGTGGTAGGTGCAAACTGTGAGATTCAAAATTTTTTTGATCTGTTCAAGTATTCACCATTGGATCATACAAAATCCAATGTAATATGTGAGTCTGAAAATACTGCCACAATGGTCTGAAAATTGTATCACAATCATTGCCAGAGTACACCATTGTTTCTTAATGCTCTAACTTTGTGAGAGGGGTGTAACATTAAGAATAATAGTGTACAGCAATCAAATAGTAGAATTCCAGTACACTAGACTTATCAGAGTAGCAAGCACCAAAATCATTACCTGTTGTTTCAACTACTGTCAATTCCAAATCAGATCAAAGTGGTTCCTTCCTTGAGGCTTGTAGACTAACATTCAAATTAGAAGGTGCTGCCATGTTATAGTAAAATCTACAACATGATACCTTCCCAGTCCTCATTAAGAGAGATTCACTGTGAATATGATGATTTGATTCAAGCTCCAACCCATCTACAATGGCAAAAGTATCCGAATTGTAATGCTTGAACAATTTTAGGTGATTATGGCATGAACCAATAGTTATCCTTGCAGCCAAAAATGGTGCTAGTGATGCCCATATAGGTAAATATTGAGCATTTAGCTTCATGCATATCAGCCATTGCCAATTCCCAGGTGGGAATTTTGGCACAAAATTCGGCTACTCAGCCCCGGCTCAGAACCCGGCTTGGGGCCTCTGAAAATTCTGAGCCGGGCCCTCAGCTTTCCACAGCCCTAGAGACGGCTCCGGCCCGGCCAGGCTCATAGGGCCCAAGGGCTCAGAGCCGGAGCCGGCACATCACTAGTCAAGGCTGGTGTCAATCAAGCTACTGCAAATACAGTTCTACATGTGTTACAGTTTATATTCACAATATTCCTGGAAATTCTTGCAGAAACACTAAATGCTACACTCAAAATTTCCCAGGATATCTGCTCTATATTTAATCAACTAGAGGGATGTGAACCAGAGATTATAAGGACTATTAGTTGTCCAACTTGCTATAAGCAATATGTTACAGCTCCTTTTCCAATTCAATGTGATTGGAAAGAATCTCCTTGATCAAGAGCATGCAAAACTGAGATTTGCTGAACCCTGTTGTCACATAACTATGGAAGTTTCAGTAGAAATCACAATACAAAATGAATATAACATATATGACTTTGCCATTCATAGGTGTTAATCTGCTCATGCTTCAGCTTTCCTCAACTCTGTCAAGTCCATGCCTCGGGCCTCCATTCCGCCGCTCGGTGTTCCGAAGATCCACCATCTATTGTAATCACACTCTTATTGTTCTTTCTCGCTACACATACCCTTTCGTTCTAGTCCCTCCTTATTGTCTTTTACTTTACCCTGCAGGTACTACACGTATAGCTCCTAGTAGTTAGTCTGGCGCTCCGCACCGCTGCGCCGTTCCGTAGATATAAATACTGCCTGTATGCTACTGTAGTTCCTCAGTTTAATTATCAACTTAGATCTCCCTTCCGACTTAGATTCCCTCCTTAACTCTGTGCTCCTCTAAGTCTTCAGGCTCATTGCCTTGAAGTACTCTCTACTCTACCTTAGGACTTAAACGTTCTTTGGTTCGCTCCTCGTCATTGTCATGCCTTGCCTGATTTTGCTTCCTTACCTATCATATTCCTCCTTACTACCTTCCTATATCTCCCTACTGTATACCCAGAGCTCCCCTTGTCTGCTTTTACCATTATGTAATATGCCACATGGCTGTCACATGTATAGTATATAGGCTGGGGACTCCCCTCGGAGCTCCCCAGCGTGTTATTGTCAAATCTTATCTGGAAACTCTTCCAACCTGGCTTGGTCCCTGTTAGTACAGTCTACTTGTACTTGCTAACAGGGCCTGACACGTCTCACCTGTCATACATTTCCTCTTTATCTGTTTCCCTCAACTCTGTTTCCTTCACCTCTGTTTCACTCAACTCTGTTTCTCTTCTCTGTCTCACCTCTCTGAACACCTCTCTCAACTTCCTGAGCCTCTCCTACGACTTACAGTCTACGTCGAGGCTCCACACCCCCAACCACCTCCTTCCTCACCAACTACACCTCCTTCCCCCACTCCAGGACCTTTGGCTAGGTCCACCCAAGCTCCGCAACCACCACTGGTCAGGCTCCCTACACCAGTAGCGGCACTTATCCCACCTCCCCTTGTACGGCCTAGGCAGCTGTCCTGCTTGCTTAGGCCCAGTCCAGATAGGACGAGAGCAGGCCTTTTGTGCCAGGCCTCACAGTCATCGGTGTTACCGCTGCTCTGACTTGGCTGCTACTCAGCTCCTCCCTTCTATACTCTTGATCTCCGGGGACTAACAGTGTAACGGCGGTGTTGTTAATAACTTCACTACTGTCCCACTTGACCTCCACACTTAGACACCTTGTGGCCTCTGGCACGGTTACACGGTGTACATGATCTTAACAATCTCATCCTTGACCTTCTTACCAATATGCCCAAAGACAAACTTTCAGTAGATCTGAATACAAGCTGTATTATCTCTTCCAACTGCCATATCCAGCATCTTGAAGGTAGAGATTGCAATCTGCTCATGTACAAGGTTGTACACAGAATCTGGATGTCCACCTACAATGTCTGGTGACCAGTGCTCTAACCCAAGTGCAGCAACAGCAGAGAAAATTCTTTCCAGAAAAGAATCTTCTATATGGCTTGCATTTTTGGCAATGATGCCACAACCAAGAAATGCACTCTGCTTAACTGCCTGCACAGCAGAAAGAACATGATTCAAAACAGCAGTCACACCTTGCACAAGTTGTTCAATATAATCCATTGAGGACTGACCTGCAGCTGGTGCAAATCACCGGTTGAAGGCTGCTATATCTGCAGGATTGACAGGCTGAGGAAGAACATTTTGGCTGAAGAGGTTCCACAAAACTTGAATATGTAACTGAAGTGGAGCCTTAATGGCAGTTCAAATGAACTGCCATGGTTTTTGTGTCCTGTGTGAGTAGAAGAATGTCTGTAGCATTGGTGATCAAAGTTTAGCAGAGGGATCAAACAAGTACAAATGGACACTGATTTGGCTGACATTAGCACATTGCCGGTGCTCACCATTTGGTCAGAATCCGTGCAGGTTTCAAACACCGCTCCCGGGAAGCTCCCGGGTGAACCGTGTCTTTCCCTAATGTCATTGACAATAAATATCGTTAGGTTAGGGTCATAATATTAGCCGGTCCGTTTGCCGATCTTCCACTGCCTGTATCTGGTACTCATCTGGTCCACAAACCATGCAACGCTGGTCAGTCCCTTCAGGATCAGAATACAATGGCTTCCAGCCACAATTTAACCTGGACTTTGGGAACCTGTACGCAAAGCTGCGCTCGGACTTCGGCCCTGCTGCTCTGTCGAAAGCCAGCGAACTGGCAGATATAGAGAAGGAAATTGAGGACTGTGATGCGGAACTCCTTTGGCTACAATCTCATATCACGTTCCTCCGTAATCATCGTCGACATCTGGGCGAGTACAAGCAATGTTTACATTCCTTAATGTCCCCAATTCGAAAACTTCCCAATGAACTTACCCTTCGCATCTTTGACTACACGTGTGGCATAAATGACCTCACATCGGGAAAACTCAAAGCCATGCCTGCATTGAATATCAGTTGTGTCTGTTCAAATTGGCGGAACCTTGCCAAAGCTTCCCCTCAGCTTTGGTCTCGTATACGCATTAATCTGACGATGATGCACATTGATAGGCAAGGATTCGACTTGCTTCATATGTATCTTGTTTCATCGCAGCAGTTCCCACTTAGTTTCGAAATCTTGGGCGAAAAGCTCGAAACACTCGAGCCACGTCAGGCAGCCTTATGTGCTATCGTTGGTGCATGCAGTGATCGATGGAAAGAGCTTACAGTGTCTCAACCAACTTTTTTCAAAGTTCTAACGGCTCAGAATCCTACCAACTTCCCTGTACTCGAGGAGCTCAGTATTTCAAGCTTTGCTTTCCGCTTACCAGGAAGCTTAGACCGCTTTCAGTATGCTCCAAAATTACATTCGTTGTCAATCTTGACCTTTCCTTTGGCCAAGCTCCCGAAATCACATTTCCCCTGGAATCAGCTTAATATTCTGACTATCTGCTCATACTCAGAAGAAGTGAAATTTCTTCTAGATGTGTCTTCTGATCTGACAGAATTGCACTTTTGCGAGTGGGCGGATGGATGGTTCAAACAAACTTCATCTCCGATACTTGCCTCCAGTGTTCAAACACTGTTGCTAACTGTCGCTGCACAAACACAGCCTGGATCCGAGAGCTTGGTGGACGTGATCTTTGCTTCCACGACATGCCCAGCTTTGACGTCGTTGTATATCGATCGCGCCGATGTCGAAGACATATATGAGCGACCTTGGCCGCAGGGAAATGTACTAGGCTTCTTGAATCGTTCATCGTGCAACTTGTCTACCCTTTCCATAAAGTCTGTTCCACTGTCAGACCTGGATCTGATCGATATCCTCGCTCGCCTTCCTTCACTCAGTCACCTCACTGTTGACGATACTGGTGTCAGCTACAATGCCAACGGACCTATCACCTCGCAACTAATACAGAGTCTCCACGCATTCCGCTACAATGGCAAGAGTCTTACTTCCTCGATTTTAGTTCCCCAACTGCAGAGCCTCTCTCTAGTGTGTAGTGCTTCCACTGGCATCAGTGATTCGGACATCATGGAAGTGGTGTCATCGCGGCTGTATACAGGTGGGTCAACATATGATTCAGCAATCGGAATGCCCTTTCTACGCTCAGTGTTGTTACATTTCCCTAATCGAGATGTTCCCGGAGAATTTTATTCTTCGATGAAGCATCTTGAGAAGGCCGGGCTGAGGGCAGTCGTGATCGCTCAAGGTCGGGTTCTCAGTTAACAGTTTTGAGGGTGGTATTGAGTCCCCGGATTTGTTGGACGTAGTTCATGACAAGCAACTAAACAACCCTTTCGAATATCTTATCTTTATCGTACCTTGTATTATCATGAATGCTCTTCTCCTGTGCGGTTGGAGAATAACGAGTCCAGAAGATACAACACCAGATAATGAAACATCACAGTACTACAAGCTACATACGAACTTTACATAGACGCTCCAATTTCGAACCAATCCGGTCCATGAATACGTCCCGAGTCTTGTATGGAATGCCCAAGCTGCGTGAACATGTCATCGACGAGATACGCATTGAGATATTCGTTGATGGTGTCCACAACACCAGTGCGGTCGGCATGCGAAAACCCCACCACTTTCAGAGCGTCGCGGAAACTACCAGAAATAAATAATCCGTCAGACATAAAAGACGACAAGAAACGGACAACCTCACCATTCGAGTGCTTGCAGGCTCTGAGCACGACTGATATCCACAATATTCTCCTCCTCCAATAAAAACCTAGCCCATTTCGTTAAGTCGCCATGTGGCATTAGCCGTACAATTGAGGGTATATCCCTCATCGTCTCGGATATCTCTATAGCCGTCCTCGACGCCAGTTTTCGCGCATGAAGCAAGTGCACTAACAGTCGACTGCTTTTCATTTCTGCAGCTACAGATATATCGCTTGAAAACCCAGAGCCGACTAGTGTTATCAGTTGTGTTATACATCGAGCGGTCTCTCAGTCGCTCGAAAAGAGTGATGACCAATGAACCCCAAGCAACGACAAAACCATGCGCACAGGCATGGAGATGATACGTCGTCTCCTGTGTGAATCGACTCTGAATGAGGTGGGATATTTGTTGTAGTGCCGCGCTTAGGAGAGAGTGGAAAACGTCCAGTGATGCGAAATGCTTGATCAGAAAGCATTCGTCGAGCGGCTGACTGCGTGCGTAGGCTGTTGCACGGAAAAGGATTTAGGGGAGAGGACGTGCTAAGGAAATCATTCACTCACGTCCACTGAGATTTTCAGCAGTTTCTCTAGCAAGACGAACAACGGTATGGGAAACTGTAATATCCAAAAAATATCAGAACTTACACTGCGAATTATTGAGTAACGACTAACATGTATGAACTGACGAGAAGACGTCTGAAGTAGTGCAATTTCTAGTCAAAAATGTGGAGACGAGCTGCTCCAATGGTTCTAATTTATGGGGGACGATCAACAGCTCGTCGTTGGTAGTACTGCGGATGGTATATAAATTAGAAGCGAAAGGGGGACATTGAGGAGACGCTCACAAGGGAACAGTTTTTCCTGTCATTAGTGCAAGAAGGGAATCAATCATCTTATCAGCAAGCGAATGTGTTGGACTCTGCGAACAAGTTTATGTTGTTAAACGCACCATATGTCCACGAAATTTGAGCATTTCGCCAGCATCCCTTGAAAGCTTTCCGTCCTCAGCAAGTGTGCGCATATGATGTACACAGGCAGCACTAAAGGCTGAAGAAGTTTTTCCAAACATCACTACGACCCGCCGTGTGAGGTAGAGAAACATGAATGCTAAAATCTGCGCACGAACCATAGCGCAAATATCCCAATATCCAGCAGGAGGCTGCATTCTCAATCGAAGTGTTGGTAGCAATACAGGCCTGATTTGCCAACCACAAGGATTCTGCCCACAACTGCCGAACAACTGGTTCTCTCCTAAACCCAAAATGACGCATATCGGGTACGACGGAGGACTTGAGAGGTGAGACGCTATCGAGAATTTGGGATTCCTCAGGACCAATTTCGATTGTCCCGAGAATGAAAGGATCCGTGGAACAAAGAGCAGAGCATGTTAACAAACAATGTGTAAGGACACGGTCTTGATATGACAGAGAATGCATGTCCCATGCATGGAGTCGTAACTTCATTTCTAGCTGCGACAACGGTATCATTGGATTTGTAGTTACTGGATGTGGATTATGAGGTGTGTTTCGGAGCGCTATTATGAGGGGAACAAAGTTAACCGATAAACCCCCGACGAAAAAACCCCAATACACACTTTGCATGAGCGCTTTAATCACCTCCACTGATAATTGTAAAGTTGGTGGGACTGGAGAGATCTCATCTAAAATATTGGAAAGGAACATAGCCGAGGCCCATTGCTGTACAACGATCACTGTAGATAGTTCCTCATCAGATTGTTTCGAGGTTGAAGCAGTTGCTTGATCGTTGCAGTTCTTTGAACTGGAAGTAGTGGCTTTTGCTGCGGAATGCACAAGATAATCGCAAGCTGGAGGTTTTTTGCGTTGTGAGGGGCGATTTGGAGACATTTCAAGACAAGCCCTTATAGTGACATCGGTTGGGAATTATGAGGGAAAGAGACAGGAAAAAGGAGTATTATAAAATAGTTAAACATGAAGAAGCAGCGCTGATCAACACATGACATCGTAATCCGGATTCCCAGCGCTCAGATCCCATTTTCAATTTGGCGTTCACTGCACAACGTCTGCTCTGGGTTTGCGTCTGTTCGCGTCACCTTTGGGTTGATAAAAATTTACAAAGGATACATTCGAAGTTTTATTCAGCACGACATTACTTATTTACATAGTGAATCCAAAAACTCATGATACGAGAATGCTGGAGGGGAAAACTTTTGAATACGCGTGCTGACATTCAATAAGGATTCAGATTGGTGAACGCAAGACTTACCGGAATACACAGTGTGATTATATAGAAATACAGTGTTCGACTTGGAAGTGGTAAGAATAGAGTGTAAACTATGATCGGTAATGCCAATAGTAATTGGGCGGTTTTTGTGACGGATGTTCAGGAAAGTATTCGGCTCGTGGGAATCCCTTGGAGCTCAATATCGCGGAGGATGCTGAAGGTGAGGGCTAAAAGGGCGGTTCACTTGATGGAAATGTCTAGAATTCATGCGAAATCGGGAAAATACCTTGGGTATCGTAGTACTTGTGAAACTCGGAACCTCGACCGCTATATTAGTCAATTCCTTCGTTTCCTTTAAAGTTGTAGATGACGATGAATAGGGCCGCGTTGAAGAAATGTTGTTTGTGGAACTACGACGATGCTGAGTTTTCTCAAGATCGAGAGCCATGTTCGAAGCAAGACGTCGCCGGCGGCGTTGAAAGATTGCAGCAGCGATTACAGAGAGGAAAATGACAACTAGAAGATTTTCGGTTCAAATATGAAGTTGTGCAGAACACATGAAGACTCACTTATGCCAATTATCACTCCAATCTCCCAAGAAATACCCAGATTGCTGCTGGAAATGTTGGTTGAAGGGGTTGATCAAGAATATTCAAATCAATCGCGTACTCGTTGTTAGTTGTAGACGTTCCTTGAGCATGACTTGAATCGGACATCGTAGAGGTGGAGTTTGGAGGAACAGCAAAATATCCGCAGTTATTATATGTTAGCCAACACAAGGCAGCCAAGACAGGCTGGGCCTTTTTCCAAGTGCCAAGAGTGTGTCTTGGCCTACATTTGATAAGTGTTATGTATGACATATAGTTTCCTCGGCATTGCTATTTGGACTAAGTATGTGGCTATTGAAGCCTTCTAGTCTTCTGCTTAACCATTGTGTTGAGCTGAAAAAACTAGGTAAGCACCTAATAATCGTCGACGTTCTTCCTTCCGGTGAACCATTAACCGCGAATCCCACTCTACGGCTTGGATTCCGTCAAACGCATACTTTATCGCTGGTCAAATTCGTCTGCAGACATACGGGATTTTCGCATTAAGATGAAATAAGAAAGCCTCCGGATGGTTGTGGTCGGTGTGGACAGTGGTGGAAAACAAGCGGCAAGATTCGGCAGTCCGTGCGTGGAAGAACTTTCACCCCGTGACCACTGACATAGCGCGACGCGTTGTCAATGTCAGCACCGCAAGCGGCAAGACTCAGTGGATTGTCATTGTGACTTGGTTCAACCAAATTGACCTTTAGATTGCCCAGTTCAGTGACTAGGCGAGAAATAATGGCTGCTATCTCCTCATTTGCTAGGCATGGGAAAAAGGTATGTCCCTGTGTCATTATGTATGCCCCTCCGTCATCCGCCTGGTCCACAATCTGGTCCACATGTTGTTCTTGGTATTGTTATGTTCAACGCCACAATTTCTCATTTCCCGGAGAGTCAGCATCATATTTCTCATACCCTCTGGAGCAGCGTGGAGCTCTCAGGCAAAGGAACTCAATGTTGGATGCACCTATCTTCCTAACCTACTTTTCGCCAATGAAATTGAACTTCAGAGCTTAATTTTACGGCTTTCCGCAATTCCCTGGTACAATTACCAATCTTTCATATATCCTCATCTTCCCTTCAGTCCAGGCCTAAAAGCTAACCTTTTCATCTCTAGATCGTAGCTATCGGCAGAAATTATGCCGAGCATATCAAGGAACTATCGAATACGACACCCAAAGAGCCGTTCTTCTTCCTCAAGGTATGTATCACTACTTTACTCAGTCTCTCCGTTTATTTTCCGGCCTTAGTTGCTCTGTCAGCTATTGTCCGTTGAATCTACGTCTGCTCATATCGTTATACTACTCGCTCCATGAGTCATTTCCAATTTCCGAACTATTCTTGATCTTTTCTGTACTTCCAGTCCAAATATTCCATTCTTCAACGTTTGTCGTAGCTCCGCTTAACTCTACTCGACCTTTCGGTTTAATCATGTAAACTTCATAACTTTTTGTCATCTCATTCCTTCACAATCCTACCAACAGTTGTATCTCGCCTGCTTACTCGGTGCCTATCCTGCCTGCCATCTTACCGAGGGTAAAATGGCTTTTGTTGGCATTCCTTGCTTTTCGTCTGTGCTTTTAACCTTGAATTGTTGGTGGCTAGGGTTTATGGCGCGTCTATTGGACCCTCGATTTCTCAATCTTGTACCATCCATCTGAATAGCTGTTCGACTGACAACCATTGGTCTCTAGCCCACAACCACTTATTTACCGTCCGGAGGCAAAGTTGAAATCCCAAACGGAATACTTTGCCATCACGAAGGTAAGTGCAGCTTATTCTATTCTGCTGCTGCCACAGATTCTTGCGAGCCCAAAACCCTTTATGTGATCATAGACTGATTATATATTTAGTGGAACTTGGACTTGTAATTGGCAAACGCGGTCGAGATATATCTCAAGCCAACGCAGACGCTCATATCGCTGGTTATGGTGAGTTCTCGTGATGCATAGCAAACGCCGATATGAACCATCTGTACGGCGGGGTAGCTTTAGCGGTTGATATGACGGCACGAAATCTCCAAGAGCAGGTGAAGAGTAAAGGACTACCGTGGAGTGCTGCGAAAGGTTTCGATACTTTCACGCCTATAGGGTAAGCGTTCTCGTCCGAGCTTGTCGTTGGCGCCTCTTTTTCACATCCCTCTTTCTTGATTTTCCATTCTTCCTGTTTTAAATGAGGGAGAAGCTTACAGATAGATAGATAGATAGATAGATACGCGGCTCCGTCTAAGACGGGGTCCCACTAGGGATACAGTGCCGTGCTCAACTATGTGACTGACTGTATTGTCTCACCAGATCATTTATCCCAAAGTCAGACGTCAAGGACCCTCATGATTTGAGACTCTGGCTAAAGGTAAATTGTATACCATTCTTGAAGACAATGTATCTGAATGTAAGAATCTGAAACAATCGGCTCTAGATTAACGGTGCTTTCAAACAGAACGGTACTACTTCAGACATGATATTCCGGATCCCAAGACTCATCGAGCATATTTCATCGATCATGACACTGGAGGAAGGGGATTTAGTTTTGACAGGAACTCCTGCGGGTGTGGGTCCGATCAGCGCTGGAGATGAGGTGGAGTGTGCACTTTCTGACGGTACAGGAAAGAATCTGGCGAAGCTTATTTTCGGCGTTGTGGATCGGGAAGGAGGGTACCAGTTTAAGGCCTAAAGTATGACAAGTATTTCGGATATAAGCGGATTTTAGCTATGTATGTTCCTATGAATAGTGCGCCCATGCAGATTAGCATGTGCCCCATGGCTGAGTTGGTTACAGCGTCCGACTGTTATATCAAACATTCCTGTATGAATGAATGAATTATCCATTCATATCCTCATCATCAGGAATAAGATAAAAGTCAATGTCACCCCAGGTGAGAGCCTCGTTGGAACCGCGATAACAAGCCGATTCAATGACAGAACCAGGACGAGCAGCAGAAGCAGCAGAGAAGAGAATGAGGAATGCCATTTGCAGGCGAGTTCGGTTAGAGCGAAAGATATTTGTGGCCGAATGAAGAGTCTCCATGATGATTTGAAGACATTGAGGTTCGATGTGCTTCAATGTCCTGATCTTGGTGGACAGTTTCACAGAAGCCTGCAGTTCCTCGGATAACAGATAGGAGCGCATTTGGTAGCGCATTTCCGAAGTTGGATGAACATTTGCGTAGCGAGGCCACAGTGCAAGGAAGGTGTACATATAGCCCCTCAGGGTTTCCAAACGGATGAACGTGGAGGCATCTCTACCGAGGAGGGCAGATGCTAAATAGCAGACAAAGTCCTTCACATATTCTGTAAAACATGAGTGAGATGACAGCATACAATCAGATGTAGACGGACCTAACGGAGGTAAGGGTGTTCCTATAACAATTTCTGAAGGCTGGGGAAGTTTTTTGGACCTGCCTTCTTCGAAACATTCTTGAGTGTACGCCGCAAAGTCTCTGTAATGACCTTTGATGTTTTCGTGATTATGGATAGTTGGACGTGTCAACTTCTTGTAGTGGTGAACATCGCGACTAGACTCGAAATGCTCTCTGAGAGCTGAATTGTTTTCGAGGCGCTCCCGTAGGACCTCTCGGTTGGAACGCTTTGCTTTGTAGGTGATACCGGAGGGCGCGGCCATGGTAGTAGAAGGAGAGAAGGAGGCGGAGAGAGAGTTGGAACGCGAACGGTGATTACTTCAGCAAATTCCCTGCTCGAGTGATGACATCACGGCGAAAAGGAATGACCAAAGGCAATGTCCAGTTATAGCCCAAGAACTTCTCTGAAAATGGAACCGGACGCGCCGCGCCATATTTCAGGCCGTACCCAGCTTTGAGGTGGGTAGTTCATTTTCGGAGCAAGTCTAGGGCTACAGCTTGAAATCGACTTTGGATCCTGAGCGCGCGTGACATTGGGAGCAGTGGTCAAGGGTTCTGCTCCCAGGCGAGTAGCGTCTTTGTATGACGAAACATCCAATTACTGTATACAGGAGCAAGCGCAGACAAATTTAGTGACGGGTGACGTTGAAGTAAGAAGATACGCACTGGTTAATTCTCGCGTGATAGGAAGGCATCTCCGGTTTCATCCATGGCTTCGGGTACAAGAGTCGATGGACGAGGGACTGCTAGTGGTAATTATTGGAGCGCGTCGGCGTGGGTGTAGAGGGAGGTTGCGGAGAGGAGGATGCTGAATTGTTGGGAGGTGGAAGAGGTGGAAAGGGGGTGGAGTGTGGAGAGGTGCGAGGAGGGGGTGGAGGTGGTGATGTAGAGTGGTTATTGGGACGGGAAAGGGGCTCGTGCTTCGGATTGAACGTAGGGATCCGCGGAGGTAGGTAGAGAAGATAACGCGAGAGGGGTTTTTGTTGTCATTGTCGTTGTCGTCCTCGTGTGTAGTTTGGTGGTACTTGTTTTCCCTGGGCCAATTTGTATCGAGTGACCGCGGTGAAGCAAAAAATTGGAACGTGTGAAAGCACGTGAGGGCCACATGTGGACGCTCAATTAGGAAAGGTAGGGAGTTTGGACAGGTTTGCCTTTTTGGGCTTCCACCGAAGAAAAGATTAATGCGGACACGGACCCTAGCAAAAAAGAAGGTCGAGAGTTCGAGCCTCTCTGGAGCAGTTAGTTTTTATTCTTGATCTATTCGCTTGTCATTGTGGTAGTACTTACTGTACATCCTGCAAATGATGTTTTGCTCCCAAGTTTTCCCGTACTTATCACCCCGCACGCATTCGTATCTGGAAAAGTCCTAGATTCTATTAAATCATTTTAAAGCGTAATGGGCATGCAGATAATCGTACTAAGAGTGTATGCGTGATGAGGCGTATGTGTAACGTATGAAGTTGAGGGTACGTGAAGGGGACATCAGAACGTGCAATGAAGGTCAGTGTAAGAGGCGGATTTAATATAGGGAAAAAAGGCGGACAAATCGGAAAATGGAGAAGAGTGAATTTTATAGGAAAGATTCAACGACGATTAGGAAATGATTCTAAGAGGTATATGTACTCCGAATCCAGCCAATGATCAACGATATTGAACGGAGTAGTAAATAGTATGCGTGTTACAGCGGATAGGCCCGGAAGGGTTCAAAGTGAAAATACAATATGTGGAGTACACGGCGAGGAATAAAAGGAAAATGGAACTGTAGCGGAACGGAAGAAAGGAAACGGAGATTAAACTCGGTGATCGCTCGAGATATGGAGCGGAAGCAAATAGACACAGAAAGGCTCAAGCGGTGGTCGGGCTTACAGACTGCTGCTCCGGGATTTATGATGCTTCGTGGTAGATCGCGAGTGAGACTTTGAGCGTCGCTCGCTATAGTGTCTGCTACTTCGTTCACGATCCCTGTCACGGTCGTGTTCATAGTAGCCGGCGTGATACGAGCTCTTGCTCTGGCTCCGTCTGCTACCGGTAGGACTGAGGGGACTTTGACCAGGGGAAGGACTGGAGCTGCGAAAACCGCTGAAGAGTTTACCAAACCAGCGTTTTGAAGGTGTTGGCGGTTGAGACTGGTATACCGGATACTGCGAGCGAAGTAGAATAGTATACAACATTATTTGATAGAACGGATCCGAAAACAAGGTACGCACCATGGCACGAGAAGCTCCCACTCTGGGATCGTAAATCATTTGCGGTGAATATCCATATCCTCCAATAGTGTTAGAACGCCTTGGAGGTTGAAAAGGGCGTTGTGGCGGAAGTGGAGGCGGTGGCGGTGGGGGAGGTACGGCAAACGTATGAGACCGCTGTGGGGGTGCATACTGCCTAGCAGGTACTGGAGTGGAGACTGGGTACGGATACACTGTCTGGGGATATTTGGTGTATTGTTGAGGCTGAGCATAGATTTGAGACGTCTGCTGGTATTGAACCTGCGACGACGACGAATGGTGAGCAGAAGAGCTGGAGGAACCTCTAGGAGGAGCTGTGTAAGATCTGTGAGGACTGTGTCGAGTAAAAGACGTATCCGAGCCTGGTAGCCTTGCAGAGCGCGGTGCAGGCGAACTGACGAAAGGATTCGCGAGCTCATATTTCTCTGTGTTGTGAACCCATTTTCCAATGCTTTGCAGCTTCGCCTTGTATCTTTCCTGTGCTTCTGGGGAGAAGTCGTATTCTGTCATAGTGGTAGGTGGGTGGGGAGTGAAGGAAAAGTATATGTGGCGCAGGAAAGAGTTTTAAAGGAAGATACAATAAACGGAAATCAGAGAGCCGTCGAAGCCTTCCTAAAGTAGTGGCATGGAAGGAAACCTTAGAAAAAAAAATAATAAATGCTTCCGACTGAATTATAGCACGTGTATACCTCAAAAGGTCACGGCTCCTCGGCCCGAGACATTCTTTCCTTCAGCCGCCACTGTAGTTGTTTGAGGGCCCTCAGGACTCAGTACTCAGTCCTCACCATGATGAGCTCATTTCGGGAGTTTCGTCTCAGGACGCTTCAAACGGGGTTTTGCTCTTCAGCCCACCTTAACTCCAGCATTCATTCTTGGGATTTTTTTTGAATGGTGGTATTTGTTCTTCACTTGTCCATTTGTGCTGTGGGTCCTGATATAATGACTGATGGACATGTTTTTGTATTTATTCGTAACAGTCTTCTTGTTTATCAGGTTAACCATCAACAATTGATTTATTTGAGGGGTCCCACTTTTGTCATGGACCCTCCGACGTTGTTCCTTCAAGTTGTGAGGGCAGGATATTGTTGCTAGAATCCGTCATTCACATTTGCTCCTCAGGCGCTTCCACTGCTGCGATCATGATTTCATTAATGAGATATTGTTACCACAGCTCGAAGGCCGCGATGGTGAGTAAAATTCTTCCCTTTAATCTCCCAGATATGGAACAATCTCTACACAAACAGCGTGCCTACGGTCCATTTTAAGGACACTTGTTGTTTATTGATCGTGAAATAGGATCATCATGGAGCATCATTCAGGTCAAATCAGTCGATAATGCCTTGTCTATCTATGAGAAGTGCACTAGCGCACCTAGATCGTATCCCTTTATCTGATCTCTTTCAGGTTCCTATTAGAGGCACCACTCAACGGGTGATGCCGCGTGAACTGACTACACACTTGACTCGCAGAACCGCTCGGTACGTCAAGGGTGCAGAATTTTAGTATATCGTTCCAAGGAAGCGCAAACATTAACGGATCTATCTATCTAGGGTGATCTGAGCCGGAGCCAGAGATTTCACATAGGTATAATGCGTTGCCATTGTAAAAGCAAGATTCAAGCTGGTGCTAATGTGTCTTATGATCACTATGACGAGAGAATCAGATAATACTGGTGATGAGAGGTACTACTATGTCTCGGAGGCTCACTACAATCCTAGCCGACTAGCTTAACTCAAGCATGGATGCAAAGGGCACCGGTCAAAGCTAACAAAGCAACTTGATTAGGATATGTCAGGGACATGTAACAACTGTAATTTTGGTAATAAACTTTTATACGGAGTCCTGGAAACATCGGGTATATTTTACAGAATAAAACAATTTCGAGGGTATACAGGGGTACGGGGCATGTATAGCAACTGTCGAGCCGGTATCAAAACGATGTCTGTCCGAAAATTTCGGTAAAGTCACCGCAGACACAAAATCCAGCGTAAACACAATTTGCCGCAACATCCAGACGCACTATTCTCGCGGGTGAATGGAAGAGTCAACGACGGGTCGCGAATTTAGAAGGAGAATTCATATAGATCATCCAAAAACCAACATTAAAAAGAGCTCACCCATTGACGGTACATTGATGTATATGATCCATGCTCCGTTTCGCAGGATTTCTGCTGAGAGAAAGTGGGTCGATATATCCACTCATTACACGCTGAGCTCTTGGTTCGGTCCTGATGAATACGGGAGTCTGTCGATCACGATACGAAAAACGGACGTCCGAGTGATGCCATAGATATGAGTAGTACGGTTCGCGATGAAGCTGGTTAAGATCGTCGACCACAGAGAGCTTATCACGATTGAAAAGCGTCGCAGATGACGCGTTTTCCAAGCCTGAGCGATAAGGATGCTGCAGACATCGTTCAGGATATGAACGTAAATGAGGGTATAGCGACGGATTCGGATCTAGTGAAGGCTGTGTTGAAGCTGGATTAAGAGGATGTCGTTTAGCGTGTACATAAAGAATCAATTATAAAGTGTAGAACACACGAGGCAGCGTAGGGAAGGCCAACGTATTACTTGAACTAGTTGAAGGTTTGAGCTCCTTTAACAAAAAATGCAGACTTGTGCCTGAGAGACTCGATGTAAGCAAGCGATATTTGCCATGAAGATTGAGTGGTGCACAAACTAGAATCTGTGTCAGGATGCAGATTGACTAAGTGCGTCTGAGAGGTCTCGGGAAGTTGCTCGTGGCCTCCGTGAGGCATGACGGTCTGAAAGTGACGAATACACAACCTGAGATCAGTGGAAGCTTAACTATTAATTTAAGCCTTCGGATATTCTTATCGATCGGAACAAGTAAATGCAACCAAGCATAAACCCGTAGTGAGGTACCTACTCGTTGCAAATTGGTTGTAAAGATCGGAACAAATGATCGTTACGCAGGTGACGCCAGGGTGTCTGATGCTGGTCTCTACTAGTCTCCAGACTCCGGGAAGCAACCCCCCAATCATAAATTCACCAATTGGGGGACCTCGCCATGTAGGTGCAATGTAGCATCACCGGTCTTGAGATTGGACAGAAGCTCCATGTCTGTGGAAAAGAACATCACAAAAGAGCTTTAACGTGCCAGTTGGGCAAGTCTTTCCAAAGTCTGTGCAGCGTTCAAATAAAGATACTTGTAACAGGGAATCATGCGTTCTACTCAACCTTCTCCTTTCCACCTTCTTTCCCGACACCCCACCTCCCCAATAACATATTACCTCTGATCACTCCTAGATCCCTCAACATCCCTAAACTTGCTTTCACGACGTTCAATTTGCTACCTCCAACCTCATGCCATTGCACATCTACCTCTCGCACGGGGATATTCTGTGCTTTAGCGAGTAATAGCAGTTCGACATCGAACATCCATGATGGGAGGTGCTGGTATGGAAACATTTTACGAGCGGCAGGTCGGGAGAATAGTTTGAACCCGCATTGGGTATCCCGGATGTGACCTACACCGACAATGAGGAGGAGAGTATGGAGGCAGCGCATTAGCATGTTACGAATAAAGGATCGCTGAATGCAAGTAATTGTGAGTTTTTCCCGAGAACGAGAAAAGAGACTGAGAAAGGACTGACTTTGACCACAGCCTCCGTCTTGACCATATGAGCACGACTGCCAACAACTACCCCTTCACCCGCGTCATCTCCGCCGGTAATTTCGTCCATGCCTTCCCATAGACGCTCAAGATCCTGGAAACGACTCGCGCCGTCAGCGTCAACCATCAAAAGTTGTTGGCCCCCACTATGCAGCATTCCATGTCTTACTGCAGCGCCTTTGCCTTGATTCAACTCCATGTTAACCACTTTGATGTCAAAATCTGGGTATTTGGACCGAGCGAGGGCTAGCGAAGCATCGCTGGTACCGTCAGTCGACCCGTCGTCAACAATCAGCACTTCGAATGTCCGTGGTCGTGATGAGGGTGAAGATAATTTCGCCTTGGAACTTTTGTTATTCTTTGAGTTGTGTTTTTTCCGCTGTTCATTTATACTTGTCAAGTGACTGATAGTTTGTTCCAACATGATAGGCAGACGTTCAGTCTCGTTGTATGCTGGAATGACCACGCTTAAGTCAACGGTAGCAGGGTCTTGTAACCGAGTGAGAGGAAGCGGTTTATCATAAGATTTATGCGAGCGATAATATGTTTCTGATTGACGGGTAACGATGGGTTTCGGGGACCAAATGAGCAACAGCATGTATATCTGGGGGGATAGTCAGAATTAACAACAATCAGAACAGATCATTAGGCGAAAACAATTTTCAGAAGCTCAAAGAGCTAAAGACCCAATTTTGTCGTCATTACCTCGACGCGAACATCATGAAAGATGGCCCGAAGCTCGAAGAACAAGGATGAAACAGCCAATTTTTCATCATTCGGAGGGAGCTCGAACAGTGTACTCACAAAGATGAGGCCACCAGCTGTCACTAATAGGACCCCCCACAGGAGCATGGCCATATCCACACTGCCCATCGCAATAAATGTACTGTAACGGTTACAGTAGAATGAGTATCTTGCGAAATCACGGCGATATCATGCGACCGGATACTTATGATGACTTGACACGGAAAAGGCGCGATTTGTCGAGTCCTGCTTCGAGAAAAGTTGAAGTGAAAGATAAAAGGTAAACGAAAGAGTTGTTATTCAAAGTTTGAGTTGAAGTCATTGTCAGCCACGTCGCAAACTTTCCGTGGGTGTGGGAACTTTGGACAAGGGCGCGTCTCGCTCAGGTCTCTCTACCATATACAGCGAATCAATGTCACTACGTGGAACGCCTCGGATCTCTGTATTTGTGGTGCTGAAGACACAGAATCGAGGTGTTCTCATGCTCACTTGTTCCCAGCAGGCAACCTATATCATGCTTATATCTTCGTGAACATATACGATTCCAGTCCATTTACTCGCTATTTTATGGAAAATTGACAAGTGGTGCATAAACTGGTTCAAACTAGTCTCCCTAACACTTGCTTGAAGTAGGTTGTGATCAAGGGGATAGCATGGTGTATGTATTGAAACTCCACAAAATATGTGGTATGTGAATAATTCAGATGATCTTAAGACACGCTGCTAACGATGATTTCTCCAGTTTCTTGTGGTTTTTATGCTGTCGGCCCAACGAATGACTCTTTAGGAGTAATTCCATCTCAGAGGGGCTACCTTCAGACTTTATCAGAATGGAATTCAAGCTCGCACATATACGTTCTTCCCGTCTTATAATTGAACGACGGTTTAACCAAGTCCACATTGTCATTGTCTACGGCCATACGCCGCTAGACCCGCGATCGTCGATAACGAGATAGAGGTGTAGCGAGGCGTCCATGCAATGCATACGATAGGTGTATAGGAGAACGCATAGGGACTTTGCCTGCTGGGTCCGTCCTCTCTTATAGATCGTTCTGCAGTTTTCGAAATCAGATGCTATCAGATGACGATAGAATCATTGGCAATAGCAAGCCTGGCAGGCTGTTACGGTAGTGGCAACGCGGGAGCTGTCAAGCTTATAAGGCTGAATACCCGCTGCGTACTCAAGTACATACTAGTTGAACCGGCTATAATAAGATCCCATGGATTTTGTGGTTTGAAAATCTGGCCTTGTCTCACTATTAATACCCCACCTCAAGTTTATCTTCCATTCCCCTTCGCCTTTGTGATCCTTTATTCGAATATTCATGTCCGAGCCTTTGACCACTGCAGAGATCCAAATCCAAGTGTCAGTACGACTAGGAGTGGTCGAGATTGTGCTTTTGCGATTGTCTTTCAGCGACTCATGTCACTATGCGTTGTAGGAACTGGAATCACTACATGGAGCTCATAGAATTCGGTGAGTAATGAAGTTCCACCCCATGATCGGACTCGGCTTCTGCTTATGTCGTTTCTAGTGATTTTGGCGTACGACTACCTCCTCACCTTCGACCTTGAAATAGAACGTTTCTGGAAACGCGATACCAAAAGACTAGCTGCAATCCTTTTCTTCGTCAATCGATACTTGACTCTGCTGGGCAACATACCATTTGTGTTGTTATTCTTCCGACCTGGACTGATCTTGCGCTATCGCGATGTGCGTATGGATAATCCTTTTTTCCTGTTCACAAGTCGTTAATCGATGATCGTTCACGTTTGGGTCGTTTTACACAGGGGTAAGCATTCGTACTACGAGGCTGGATCACCTTGATACTGGATTTGCCATGAATTCAATTCAGTTGACAGACGCGAAGCGCTCGACCTTTATGCACAGATATTGATATACGTTGTTCAAATCAACATTAGTAGTAAGTACAATCGTTCTCTTGAAAACTCCATACGGCCTTCAAAATCTCCCGCCTGACATCGATCATCATCCCAAGTACTCTTTCTGCTCAGGATGCATGCTATATACGGCGGTAGCAAGCGAATAGCAGGGTTTCTCGGTGTTGTGTTGATGGGTATGATGGTGAATAATGTGGTTGGTAGCACAAGCCGATTCTTTTTTTTTTGTTCAAGAGTAGCTGATATCAAGGTCGTACCGTCCACAGGTACAGTTGTATCTCGCAGATAGGACTGGACCAGCTGCAGTAGATCTCCCATCGGCGTCAGCGCAAGTGGGCACTATTCCGAGTTTTTCAGATACACAGTGAGTGTCTCGACTATATAACTATGAAGTCTAATCAAGGGCGGGCATTGACGTAGAGGACTTCGTTCGTAACTGTTTGCGTTCTGTATCCCCTTGTCACCGGCTCATCGCTCATTCGTCTTCTCCGTAGATTTGGCCTATCTGTGGATTGGAATATTTGTATTTGATCTATGCGTCTTTTCGTTGACACTTTGGAAGACCTATTGTATTTATAAAGACGGTTACATATCGAGAGGGATAGGAACTGTTGTCATGCGAGATGGTGAGTCGTTGAACCCTTTTGTTCAACAACGTATCTGGATATCTTTTCTCTCTCACTCTCAAAGGATTAATGTATTTTGGAATAATCACTCTTGCTACTTTGGCAAATATATTGGCTTTTGCAGTACGCTGGTTTTCCTTTCTTTTGCCTCTCATTGATGACGTGTTTTCTTTTTCCCAGCTCGGAACGGTGCGTTGTAGGTTGTAGCTGGAACCTGATTGTCTCATTTGAAGATATCCTGCTTGCAGGAATTCACCAAGGGCTTGCTCCCGATTTTTTCCAACATGTAAGCCCCTTCCGTTTCTTCATCGGAGATCATCTAGATTTCTATATGTAACATATATCATCGCAGAATTTCCAGTGTCATGATGTCGCGCTTGATGCTTAATTTACGAGAAGACCGTTTAAACGAAACGCAGATGTCGGGGCTCATCTTCGCTAATAATGAATTTGGTACTACAAATATGGCGCCTCAAACCTCCCGCTACGAATATGAACCATCGCGCCGACAAAGAATTCGGACTAATTCTGGCGTATAACTTGGTATTGCCATGGACGTGTATTATACATTCTCAATTATTGCAGGGTATCTGTTTTCAGTGCCAACCTTCTGCGTCTATGTTCTCGTAGTCAGCTAAAATTGCTGTGGGGCTCTTTCAAGCTTCAATACTGTCGCTATGTAGTTTTGCTGATTTTGTGTCACCATCGTCATCAGCATGACTGTTATCAGGTTATAAGACATTTGGTATGAAAATCTCATCTTACTCTTTGCTTTTTGTCCTGGATGTTGCTCAATGTACTCACAAGCTTCTAATGAGGAACAATGTCTGGCAAATAATGTTTTTGTTTCTAGGAAAAGCTGCAACATCTCTGTTCGGATCCAACACCAAGGATGCAGTAAGTGCTGTCTGACATGGCGACGTCTCAGATTCCGAAATGCCCGAGCGAGTCTAGCATCGTACATGACATGTTTGCAAAAATCGAACCACATCCCAAACAGGCCACGCTACGAATTCCTATAAAAACCCTCGACATTTTCGACTTTTTATCAAACTAATCCTCCAGACTATCATGAAGACAGCTTTCCTTACGACAATTGTTGCTCTCGCCTGCACTGTTTCTGCTTTCGTTACTCCTCAAGTCCGCGATGGATCAAGCTCTTCTTCGACAATCGACGACACGACCATTCTTAACTACGCCCTCATTCTCGAGTATCTCGAATCCGCCTTTTACACCGGTGCCCTGAGCAACTTTTCTCAGGACGATTTCACTAACGACGGCTTGCCTGAATGGGCGAGAGGCCGTTTCGAGCAAATCGCTGCTCACGAACAGGCACACGTCGAACTGTTGAGTAACGCACTCGGCAGTAACGCCACCCAGGCGTGCACGTACAGCTTGTAAGTTATATAGCTGTATTTAATCGCAGTATAGTTACTTACGATTGCGCATATAGCCCATATACTTCGCCGTCTTCGTTCGCTGCTCTCTCCCAATTGCTCGAAGGCGTTGGTGTTTCTGCTTACGCTGGCGCTGCCCAGTATATCACCAACAAGGAATATCTCACTGCTGCCGCTGTCATTCTGTCGACCGAAGCACGTCACGCTGCCTGGATTGCTGGCCCAGTCAACAAAGAAAATCCTTGGTCGGGTTCTCTCGACACGCCCCTCGGGCTCAGCGTCGTCTACACTCTCGCAGCGCAATTCATCACTGGCTGTCCGTCTTCCAACCCTTCACTGCCGGTTAAAGCGTTCCCAGCCCTCACTTTCGACAACGCCTCGCCCGGTCAAGCCACGAACGTGACCGCGGATGGCGTTGACGCTGAAGGGCAGTATGTCGCGTTCTTTAGCGGGCTTGCGATTTCGTTTGTCCAAGTTCAGAACGGCCAAGTGGTCGTACCCAACAACTCGTTGGCGTATGCTGTATTGTCGAGCAGCAACACCACGGCGGATGATTCTACGATTACTGCAGGTGTTGCAGTGCTGAGTTTCCCATTCAACTCGAATGGCACTTCTTCCTCGTCTACGGGAGACTCGAGTATGAATGTAGTCGACTAATGGTCGTTCCGTGTGCTCCTTTTGTCATCGGACAAGTCACGATTCTTATGAATGTTCTCGTTTCAAGAGCTAGTCCATCGGCATGTAAATAGTTGTTTGCTTCGTGTAGATACATTGTACGGATAGATAGTATGTCAATAAATCACAATCCTCCGCATTGATTGAACAAAAGGCCAAGTTTGGCATTGGTTATTCGAGCTAGAATTATATAAGCCGTACTATGGTCGCTTTTGGTCGTCAATCGATATTGTATCCAATTTCCTACTTCATAAATTTCGGAGGTTTTCTAATCCAAGCATCATTCCCTCAAGCAGAAGAGCTTTATCGTATTCATCGTTGATTTCGATTCGGCACCTCATCATGTACATGACTATGGAATTCGCGTAGCACCCAAAAAAGCTCAAACACAACCGCGAGTCTTTCAAGATTCTCAACCGCCGCATGCATCCAAAAACTACGGATAGCTACAAATAAGCCACCGAATAAGCATTCCTGGTTAGCCTCCTTCAGCTCAACCCTATGTATATGTACAATAGGTAGAACCCAAAGTGGATCAAGCTGAATCAAACAGACAGACGTATTCTGGAGCTGGGATGTCTGTTTGAACGGAGAAAGACTTTGGGGCTGCTGCCGAGCAGCTCGGCGGGTGCGGGTGCGGGTGCGTGTGTGAAAGCAGGTGCAGGTGCAGGTGCAACTGTTGTAGGAGCAGGAGTTGCAGCTCGACCAGTCCAAACGAACCGGCCAATATTATGACCCTAACCTAAAGATATTTATGACGTAATTTACGCTTCGGAAACCGAGGACCTAAAATAGGGTTAGCTCCACTTCTCTTTTGAACTCCACCACCGCTCTGCCGTGTGAATCATCGACGTAGTTTCCAGTTTACTTTTGAAAAAAGTGGCCTTGTTTATGCTCTGGACAACCTTGAACTTTGAATATTCTTGAAGACCAACAAGAAAACGACGTAGACGAAGAAATACTACTGCATCAAAAGCAAGGTACGGTATTTAATTACTCCACTTGAACAGAATAATTATCGATACTCGTATTTGGGGCCCGCTCCAGAGCAACTCTCTAGTCTCCACAAGAAAACTAGTCACCGCTCCACATTTACTAGTATTGATGGGTGGAGACCACAAGTGCCCCGTTTGTTCTGCAACTTTCACTCGGCCCCAGCATGTTGTGAGGCATATGCGATCTCGTGAGTACAATCCTGTCCTGCCACCTTATCGAACCTTTCGTTCATTCCATATAAGACACTGGCGACCGACCATACAAATGCCAGCATTGTGGGGACCAATTTTCTCGCTCTGACCTTCTATCTAGGCACATTAACAAGTGCCATGTTGGTGAAAAGGTAGCAGGAGGAGTGGTGTCCAATGATACACACGGACGGAGGAAGGGGCTCAGTGCCAATGCCACACGTGCCACGACAAGTAAACAGGCTTGTGATCAATGTGTGCAGAGCAGTTTACCGTGCGACGGATGTAATCCATGTTGTGAGCACATTTATTTTTGTCACCATTTTGTCTTTTTTTTACCCATGTACCATGTCGCTCAGCGAAATGTGTACAACGCAAGATCCGGTGCACATTTGTCAAGTTCCATCGTCAAACAGCCCCCATTGGCCCAGGTCATAACCAATCTCGCTCCGGTAACCCTTCTGGCTCAACTTCCCATCATCCATCGCCGCATCAGCAACAACCTCCGACATTCAATCCTGCTGTTGGCAACGCGTACGGACCTGTGTACGGTAGCTATGATTCCTCTGTCGGTAACTTGGGTTATCCGGCTCATCATGCAACAGAGGACGATCCGTTCGTCTTACAACCAGCACCTGAATCCTCATATGCAACTAATTATCGTGCACAACAATCAGAACTGCACCGTCGCGCTTCCTTGCCTTCTTTCTCTGCCTCAGCCCAGCCGTGGATTAGTGGATGGCATGAGAATACTGCAAATGGGGAAGGTGGTCCAATTCCGTTCAATGTCGATGCCGGGCATCACTTTGCATTCGAAGTTGGCGGTGATTATAGAGTAAGTTAGTTTATCCTTTCTTTTTCGGTTTCTCAGCATTATGCAGGATCAACCATTCACTTTGCGCCACCCCCACAATCAACATCCGCACCAAACACCGTACTCATATCATCCTCAACCTCATCCCCAGCATCCACATCCTCATCCACATACATCATCAACCACTTCACTGAATTCATTTTCTTCCTCTTCTTCTTCTTCTCATGATTCCCGTCCTGGTACTGCGAGCGACATCAGTTCTCTAGCGGAAGATCCACCGTCTAGACCAGGTACCTCGAGTTCTTTTGCGGAGTCGGTATCAGGAAGTCGACCCGGAACAAGTTCTAGTAGTTCAGTGAACGAACAGTCTAATAACAGCGAACATTCTGGTAATGCAGGTTTTTCGAACGCTTTCGGGTTACTGTCTTTGGACGACCCTGCAGTCATAGCCGGTTTGGCAAACGATGGCGCGCCGTTTTTCAGCCATCTCAATCACCTTGGAGTTGATTCACATCTTAACAATCCCACTGGCTCGACGGGTTTACCACTCGATGCTGTGGCCAATATAGGTACCGGTATGACCTTAAGAAACGATCCAGATGCGACTCCGATGCCAATCGGCGAGGCTCAAGCAATGGGTCTCGTCGGGCCCGGTGTAGACCCAAACCCTGCTTCGGTAGTAGCATCGTCGACGTCTTCCCAAAATCTTCAACATTTCCCCCGAGCTAGACCAAGTACTGGCAACGGACGGAATTCGAATTGGGGCGACACTGGGGAGCTTGGTACTCCTGGAAGAGACATTGAGACTCGTGAGCTTCGGGAATTCTGGAAAGCGTATATGAGGACGCCCCTTAGTGGACCTGGAGGCGGCACTGTAGGAGGAATGCTAGGTGGAAACATCCCAGGTCATCACGATATGCACATGCTCTCACCAGGCGGAACCTCGAGTGGAATGAATCCCGGTGCCCCCCTAGGTCATCCAACAACTGGTGCTCCCAGTCCCTACCGGCGTCAACGTGTTTCCTCATTACCGTCAGTCAAGACACCGACAGCGATTTTTGATGAGGAAAGGTACGCTGCGGGATTCTTCGGCTTCAATGGCCCATACGGCGCCAAATATCCTCAACAGCCGGATTCACACCTTTTGCATTCGCATCGGGTTCAACCCAGCCATGCCAATCATCAACAGGCTCACAATGTACATTACGGTGCTCAGCCGGGAGGGCCAACAATGCACGGCAATGCAGAAGACCTCCGCTCTTACGAAGCTGCTGTATTGGCCAGAAAGGCACCAGTAAATTTAAGTATGGAAGGCCTCGGTGGAAAGATGCGGAGAAAGGCGGGTGGCGTTATTGCCAAAGACAATAATTCTCGCATGACACCAGCCTCTGCCAGTGCTAGTCCCAACTTGTCCTCCGCCAGTCACTCTCAAGGTTCCAGCTCTTCTCCGTCGTCGTCATCATCCGCTGATTCATCGCCAGCGATCCCGCAAGCTCTGTCTCACGAGAGCGCTCTTCATGTCGAGGGAGGTGAGAGCGCATCTCGACGACCGTCGTTTAAACGTGGCGCTTCCCAGGTATTGGAGAAGGGTGGCAGTGGCAAACTCGCTAGACGCACTTCCTCGAGCAGATATGATTCTCTAGATCACGAGTATGATTATGGTGAGCATGCCCTCCTCTCTCCCTTGGACAATGGTGGCGTCGATTTCTGCAACTCCTCGTCCACGTCCGTCTTCGGAGTCGAAGCTGACGAACTCTTCTGGGTAGGAGGACTTCAAGCTTCTGCAAGTTCTTGAGTTCCCTAATGTTCGTCCTAGAGATTACATTATGTCGAAATGACTTCATGACTTTTTTCTTTCCCATTCACCTGAGAGCATTAAGACTCTTAAATATGTATTTAAGAGTATACTTAACGATGTACCATTAAACTTTACAATAGTTCCTCATACTGCTTACTACACGTTGACCGCACTACGTAGTTCATATTTTATCAACCCTGTGCTTTCTGCCATACCCACCTAAGTAGTGTTTGCTGCAATGTATGTAGTTATCATCTAAAGAATGGTGGCTGGTCGCTTGTATCGAAAATTTGGGTAAGTAATGCGGTACGGGATAGCAACGCGAGGATTCCAATACCAGTGGTCTTGGAACAACTGAAGTGTTTGATTAGGTGGATAGTATCGACTTTCAGACGATTTGTCAAACATTATTCCATGGCTGCACATGATCATGAGCATGTCGAGCAGTAAAAATAGAGGCAGTGGAGTTCACTTACCTTTCTTCCAAGTGCTTGCAAATATTCCTGGCTTTATTTCCCACTTGATCATGACAATGCATACACTTGAGAAAGCTCAGATTGAAGGGTTCACGTTTGACGATTGCTTCTATCTCTTCACCGAATGAATTTACAGTATACTCGTAGGGTTTTATAGGATAGAATTCGGTAAATTTGTGCACCAGCTGTCAAATGCAATGAGTACTACTGACAAGTGAAGGATCTTATTATAGATGAGCTTTGCTCACCAATTCTTTGAATCGCATAAAAAGTCGACCACTATTTCGCCAATGGTTGCTCTGGTCGCATGTCGAACATTCGGCAAGCGGGTTCGCAGCATATAGATCCTGAGTAGTTGTAGTCCTTGGATCAAGGTTGCATACTTCGACTATAGCTTTCATAGTTTCAGAAGCTGGTTTGTCGAATAAAAGTTGCGAAGAATTCCATGGCCCCTTTGGGTCATCGTGGTCGAAGAACTGAATATAAACCCTTATACGGGAGTTTCTTGAGAGACGCGGCTCCAGGCAGCATTCATGATAGAACATCTCAGGAAAGTGCAATTTCCTGCGGCATCGTTCGCAGTCAAAAACTGTGGTTGCGAGATACAGATCCGATGTCTTGAATCCGGGTATGTTTTTCTCCATTATGCTGACCAGTTCCAGTATTTTGGCCGGTCTCCAATGCTGGATGAACGTAGGCAGGAACTGGGCAAGTTGAGATGAGAAAAATTCTTTCGTCAAGATCGTTTCGCGAGGGGTGTCCCAAATTAAATCTTCAAAAAATTGATGGTTCAGGATATCACCCACAAGGGGAAATGGGTCTCGAAGATCGGCGCCCGATGTAAAGCTGTTGTATACTTTTTCAAGCAGCACGTAGCGTTGACGTGCTGAAACCTTAGTTTCTTCAACGATCCGACGCTGCCGATGATCTGAAAGTACTTTCACGAGATCTGGTTCGATTTTCCTCCAGGCTAGAGAAAGTCACTATAAAGTTTCGTTATGTTTTTAACATATACACACCCTGCTCCGTCAGTTGCTTGGATTGGTTAACTGAATCGTGCCGAAGGAAGAGGTGAGATTGCGGAGAGTTGATCATAATATCTACTTCTTCTCGCAACCCAATCTCCTCCAGCTTTTTGAATATCCTGAAATACAGTTGACAAGTTGAGAAGCGAACGAGTAGCTATACTCTGGAACTACTCACATTTGTTTTCTTTCTTCGAGCAGTTCCTCCTGACGGTTTTCGAGCATGGTGACATACCACTCTTGGCACAGACGACCATGCTAATATTGATACAGGAAGTCTGAGTCAACAAAATCATTCGGGTTACTTGAGCCTACCAACCTCTCGCACCGCTTCCTGCTCTTCCATTTTGAGCGCAATCCAGATATCAATGTCTTCCTCCTTCGAGAGTGCGTCGTATTCTGCCCGCAAGCGTTGGGCCAAAGCGAGGTGGCCTATATGTCTTACAGTAGTGGATTTCCGACCTATTCCTGGTAGGGTTATGGGTGGATATTTCTTGGTACCAAAATGAACACAATGCTTACTAGTAACTGGGGAGATGACTTCGCGTGGGAGAATTTTTGCGTCTCGATAGTCGCGAGGTTGGGTTCGTTTTAGATTGTACAATTGAGGAAATCTGGATTCGACCGAGTCAGTGATCGCTATTTGAACATGAAATTCAGAACACTCGCGTTTGAACTGCGCATGCTCTGCAACATCGCGTTCGGAAAGACCAGAATGGAGGTTCACAGGCTCCCTTCTTTGAGCAAAACTACGAGTGTTTATCTGTTAGTAGGTATACTCATAGATGATGTGATACTCACATAGCAGTGCGTGCAAAAGAGAAGGTCTGCATATTGAGGCTCACTGAGATCCTTCGGTAAAGGTGGAAGACCATCTAGATTCGAGCGAGCAGTGCGCCAGATCAATTCGGAGGATTTGCTCATGAGAATGCCTCGAAGGTCGCGAGTTGTGCGAGCTAGATTAATTAAATCATTTGGCTCTAGATAGCAAAAGATCTAAGGCAAGACAATATTCAGCCGAAGCTCTTGGGTGACACAGACTTTGCACCTCGAACATAATGTCAAGAGGGACATCTCTCGCAAGCTTTTCAAGAAGACCTAGTTTTCCTCGTACCCCCCGAAACTCGTCCGGCATTTTGGTCCTCCTCCTCTTGTTGCGTTTGAATTGAGTGTAATTGCTCTCATTTCGATAATTATCATCATCATCACTATTTTCAGGACCATCGTTGTTGAATTTTGGACGCTTGCGATTCGAATGTGCAGGTCGCGCGACCTGGCTAAGAGGATGGTCTGCATTTTCACTCGGTATACGAGACGCACCAGCCTGGGCTGTAGACTCTCTCGTGGTGACAGACAATTTTTTGGCGATTCGCAAAGAACGGCGCGTCATTTGGTGTAAGGTGAAGTAACAATGGCGCAGAACATTCGGGATAATAATGAGCACGTGAGCTATTGACTCACGCGTGTCCTATCCATCGGGCCGAACACACCGTGAACTTTGAAGTTCTTCGGGACTCGCTCAATGCCGGGCAGACAATATCGAAATATCACTTACAGTGGTACCATCTGGCGGCTGTGTGTTCCATTTTACAGTCAAGAGCAAGTCTAAATGCAATTATTTACCGATTGGAACGAGCTGTGTGCATCAAAATAATGAAGCGGATACGGGTAACTTCATTTCTGGTGCCACCCACCGCCTCATATTCCCAAAGTCCAGCTTGAACTTCTTCAGCAATGTCCCACATCGAAGGCAACCTCCCTCTAGTTATGAAGGAAGAAAACGAGCGTTTCTTTCGTCACTTTGTTGGTACCCCTCAGACGAGCTTTGGCGCTGACATTGGGAAGAATATCAGATTGACGAGCGCAAATGTGTTCTTACCCAATGAACTGGAAGGAAAGACTGAATCAGAAGCGGAGAAAGCGAAGAAAAGTGCGGAAACTGTGACGATTTGTGAGATCGATGTCACGAAAGGTGAGTAGTTGGCCGCGCAGCTCTTGTTGGATGGCATGTTTGACGACTTCATTCTGATAGATATGTGCAATATATACGGGACCTTACATGGAGGGTGTGCTGCATACATCATCGACTTGTCTGTGTTCTACATGTAGTGTGACATTCGTGATCTCATATTGCTTGAAGGTGCTCGTCGACGTCCATTGTCTGCTATGGTTTATACACCGGCACAGACGGCACCGGTGTATCATCCTCAATGAATATTCACTGGCACAAGCCAATTACTCTGTAAGTTCATGTGTTGCGACATTGTCGTAATACCCCCTTTGTTATGGCATGTAATGTTCTTATTTTTATATGACAGTGGCAAGAAACTCAAAGTTGTCTCGAACACTATCTTCGTAGACGGTCTAATCCGGAATGCTAGGAGTGAGGTGTGTTCATCTGTGTTCCCTCCCAGTTCTAATCGCTGATACGCTTGTTTAGCTCCGAGATCAACAAACGAATCAATTGTACGTCTCCGCCGTACATTCAACAATCGCAGGAGGGAGCAGGACGGCAGCTTTGAGAAAGTCGAACAAGGACAAGGTTGAGAAGACGAAGCTGTAAGTTTATACAGTGGGTACTACAATGGGTCACTTCTCCGTCTATTGCCTCATGGGTACATATTCCGGTAGTCACAATCTCGGATGGATAAATATTATCGGAAGATCATGCAGTTTTGGCGTGGCATACGTATTATCAGATAATATTGCGACGAGGTACACATGTCCGACGCTCAACAAGCCAGCCACTCAGAGTCCTTCAAGCCAGTGCGACAAGATTTCTTTTGGCGCTAAACTAGACTGAATTCCATCAAGTCCATTTCGCCAGCCTCGTACAGTTTGCTGAATCTCAACCCACATTGATGACTCCAAGGGACCTTGCTTAGTAACAACATTGCGAGCGAACGATGGTGCGAACTTACCACAAGTTAACGTATTCAGCCAATGTTCTCTCTTGTGAACCCAACAAGGTCATCATGGCAATGTCGAGCTCGTACGTCCGGGCACGGGCTACACCATAGTTTGGTAGTAGAGGCTTAGGAGCGACGTCAAAGTATGCTTCTGCCGTAAATTCATCGGTATTCGAAAGCGCATTGCGCAGTACGATCTCATCTGTTATTATCAGTTATTCATTGGCGAAAGACGTATAGGTAGAGGAACAGTCGCACGAATGATGAGTTTACTTTCTGGCTTCATAGCTTTCCGGATGTTGTTCAATATGATCTTGCTTTCACGGTCTTGCCAATCGTGTCTGGCATGATATTCTTGTCAGAATATAACTCTACGGTTTCCGCTTGATAGAACGCACAAGATAAAAGAAAGCTAGATAACCAAAAAATGTATGTCATTCTAGTTCGTCAGTTTAAGAATTTGTAGGATGCGACGTACATAGTAAATATCACATCCTCGAACAGGTGCATCCTTGAAGAAATCAAATGGTACAAATTTGACACGTTCTTTCTGCACCGCACTCGGGTGTTGTTTTACCCAAAACTAGAAGTATAGTTATTGCAAGTACATAGCTAGTAGATAAATCGCCAACTGACCTCTCGCGCCCTATCTATTATCTGCGTTTGATCCTGGAGGACCAGATTAAGGTGCGGATGGGCTTTCAAAAGAGCCATTGTGGCAAATCCATTTCCCCCAGCAACGTCGCAGATAGTAGTCTCTGGTGGTTGAACACTCCAAGGGTAGGCTGCGAGCGTGAGGAATCCACCACCTCGCTCGATATCAAATCTGGCTTACCTTGAGGAAGAAAATGCTCCTTGCCAAAGATTTGACCCCAGCCGACCATGGTACGTGCAAAGCGCTTCATTGAGCAATGATCAAAAAGGAATTTTGAAAGAATTCTTGTTAAACACCGACCTCACTTCGTTTCAATCCGTCAGGCTAAGGCAGGAAGTAGTCAATAATATTCGAATAAGAATCAAGAGATTGGCGGGCACTGACTTGGCTATCGAAATCGAAGTAAGGAAATCCAGTGGCACGTTGATACGGTATTCCGTTATCATCTTTTGACATTGTTTTGTTGAGGTACGCGGAAGCCAGAAGACCGTCGTCCGTCCTAGAAGCGCAAAACGCAATGAGGATGAGAATTGACCCAAATGGAAATGACTACTACCTTTGAAGAACCAAGGCTGACGTTGGATCCGCCGAGAGCAGCTTCATACTCAGCCTGTTATTAGCAAAGACTCCCGGCTGAACTAGAAATTGACATTCAGACATACGTTTTGTTCATCCATACGGTGGACGCTTACTCACCTTCCTTGAAACAATGTTTCGTAGCAAGAAGGCGTAGGATCCGAGTTAGTTTGCCCGCATGGATACCGGCGATATCTGCTAGTTTCGAGGCTGGGAGGCCAGCAGGTTGATCAAGTAGGAGATCAGCCATTCGAGCTTCCGTCACAACAGATAAGCATGCCGCCTCCCCATGCTATTCGACATATCGATTACATATCTCGGGAACTATGAGGACCAAATCTTACTTCCAATGCTTTCTGTGTGACAGATGGTCAATTTCGTCATCCATCTATGCATCAATAGATGGGCACATAGATACTCACATTGAGCATGACAGAACCAGGCGGGGAGACAGTGTATGTGAGTTGAGCACAAGCGGCTTCAATTATTTTGATAGCTTTCATCAGTCGGGCAGGAGTCTCCGCTGGTACTTGGAAGGGACCAGGTTTGAGGGAATTGAGTGATGGAATCGCTTGTCCGACCGCAGCATACTCGGCGATAACATCTTGAACGGCATCATTGATGAGTGCAGTCAATGCGGTGACATGACTGTTATCGAAGTTGGCCATGATGGTGTGTCTTGCTTGAGCTATTTGGTGGTCCACTCAAAGGAGAGATTTATGTGGCAGTCCCATTCGAAAGCAGATATATAAGTAGTTTCTCCAGGTCCATCTTGGGCGTCAAAAAGCCGGTGATTCACGATATCCACAGACGATACCAAAGCGGGAGATCAACAGTTGAGTGAGATTTCGATCGAAAAGTGTATATACCAAAGAATTGAGCTTGGCCTCGAACCATCCGGCTACTTGAAAATCAGTTGAGGCTCGGGTACTGTGGTTTTTGTCGGGACGATTCATAACTCTAGTCGGGCTTGGCTCGAACCATCCGGCTATAAAGGTATATTGTCAACAGAAGATCATTTGTTCCAGTTGACTGGGATATTACCAGTGTTTGGGAAGAAGTGTCGCGCTGAGATGGTGATTCCTGGCTTGGATTCCATAAATTCAGTCGTGGCGAAGCTGGTTGAATTACGCTTCTCCTCTTCCCCACGTTTCGGATGCCATGTGGCTTTCGGAGGGTGATGAAACCCGGCTAGTTGAATGAAGAGGGTCAATTTTCATACATACTTAGGTCAAAAATAAGCTATACGCGTCGATTCACCTGTGCGACTTGAGCATGGGGTTTTCCCAGCAGGTCGCTCAGGTGATCGAGGTCCGCGGTACACATGTCCGACTAGGAAATCTGCATTATGAATGCCAGTGGAACATCGACATTTTACCCAAGTTTCACCCAACAGAAGTGTTGTGCCGATACTCAGGCTAATATGGGGAAGAAAGATCGTCGTGCTGCCCGTGAGCAGAGGGGTACGCAGCAGGCTTTGATGATCCAGAGTCACCTAGACATCCTTGTTAAAGCTGAAATCCCTGATAAAGCTCAAGATCAGATGTACAGATGGATTGTGACTATACAAGTTACAATTGAGATTCGATAATTGGGTATTGGAGCGGTTACATGCGCTTATAGTATAGCGACGTCTTCCTATGTTTGCCAGTAATGAGTAGAGTAGTTTCTTCCGCCTCTTTGAGTCGGGGATCCGGAGGTTGGGACGTTGAACAGTTCAATTTTTCGTCACTGAGATTGGCTTAATCTGTGGACCAACGTCAGGGCTGAGTGCGCATTGATGGTACCAATACAGCAACTAGTGAATTCGGGAACTAGTGCGTTGAGGGGAGCATTTCGAACTATCTCGAGATTTCATGAGCGGGAAAAAGTACAAGGGAAGGCCATTCACAATGACTCAGTTGCCGGTGACAACATTATTCCACCCAGGCAGGCTCAAGTAGGTGGCCCACAGGCATGTACGACAAATATGATTGCGAGCGAACAAGAATCTCTATATAGACTCACAGATCCCACGAGGTCACAGCCACATGTCGGGTGCATGCGCACCGACAAAATCATCCAAACACCACATGTACGTGTTGAGTAATACCAATTTGCATAACTAAGATTGATTTTTGGTATTCAGGGGGAGGTTTGAATGCGACGCCGAGAGTACGAGGAGCGCATGTACGTATTCCTTGAAATCAATCAATATCCGTCCTGACTTCGACTTCAAAAACTTGCTCCAATTTTCCCTGGATTCTCTCCAATCTTTTTTCGCCTTATCAACCAATGGTTCAAAAGCTTTAGCCAAATCCTCCTGATCCTCCGAGCTCAACTTCTTCATGACTTGCGTGGCTTGCTCAGTTGTCATAGTGCGTGATATGCGGCGGACAAGGGTGGATTCGGGGAAAATCGATGACACTTTAGCTTCCTGACGTCGCTCCATGCGGATGGGAGGTATATCAGATTTCGGAGCATCCACGTTGAGTCTTACGGCTTCGCCATTCTCAGCCTATATACATCATTTCATCCTCAATACCACATCAATTATCAGGCAAACGAACCTCAAGCGGCATGCCCATAGGTCGAAGGTGAGGTATTCCTATCATGTTCTCGATGATCTGCATAGGTCGTGTTTTTCAGATAACATGGTAAAATATCGGAAGGGCAAATGAGTACGGACGTTGTGTTTGTCTTGCCCACGAGCGTCCCCGGGTGTAACAGGAACAGCCATTTCGAGTTCTAGTTCTAGGTCTGAATGGTGGGTTTGGGGCTAACATGCATGAATCAGCACATGAGTGACAATCGAGGGGTAGGCGATGTGTACATTGTGATAGTCAAGAGGTTCTACAATACAGCAATCGTCGGTATGGTGGTGACCATGATACTCGGGTTCATCGTCGAGATGGTACTGTTGGTGACTCTGCAAGAAAAATATTAAGTCCAATGAAACACGGAATCACGCATACAAACCCTACCCCATGAGGCTGTTCATTGTTTTCTCCAATGTTGACGGAGTGTATATCGGATTCCTGCTTCTCTACCGACTGTCCAAGAGATATAGCAGGCAGAATCACTGGTGTCGGAGGTGCGCCTAAAGTTTGAGCCAGTGACAAAGCGCTCGCTGGTGCAGGACCATCAAAGCTGTCGGTCAGATCCAGAGAAGATGGCAACGGGATAGCCAAAGTGGACGAGACAGCTCCAACTGCGATAACAGTTTTGAGAATGACAGACTCAGAGTAAATCATTCTTTGTGAAATTTGGAAGGGTTCGAATATCAGGCGTCAACAAAAGCGACCGGCGGGAATTTTGCGCAGAGAGAACCAGCTTTGTGGGGGATACAAGGCGAGCTGACTCTACCTTTTATACCGTTTCTCAATCGTAAGAATCAAGAGATCAGATGGGGGCATTGTAACCCGACGGAAACTCTTTAGGAGCCCCTGTACTACAACGTGCTCCTCCCTGCTCCTCCGTTCCAGTGAAATCGAGCTACTTATGCTGAATCGACTAACGCATCAGTTTCAACATAAGCGTAGGCGGAAACTCCCTCCTCCTGGTGAAAGGAAAGTATTGATCACCGTTGGAGCGCAATTTATAATTGAATCCATACAGGCCATGTAATTTCACCTTTTGCTTGGTGGATGAAATCAGATACAGTCCTGTAAGGTCCTGTAGATTTCAGAATAAAACTCGCTCCTAAATCTTACCATGTGATTGCGATGGACGTTAGAGGATGTATATATGCCTCAACCGAGAAAAAACAAAATGTCCTTAATTGAGGATGTCGCAGATACCATTCTGCCAGCATATGCTATATAGCGAACTGACATGGGTACAGGCAGTTCAAGTACTGAGAGCAGTAGACAGAGCATGCGCAAGAATACTGTGGAAAACAAAGACGTTAAAGATAGTCCGGCGAGTGAGATTGTACAGGACATACTTGTGAACGGTGAACAACGGGTGCAAGGTATTAAGCCAGCTAAAGGACAACAACGAGTAAGCTCAAGAAGTGATAGTTCGCTGAACATAATTCTCACAAATAGCTGGACACGGGAGCACATCCTTCCACCTGCGTCGTCATACCCGGTGTCCCATTCTCATACGCCTCGCAATACCCCGTGATATTCACGAACCCGAACGTTTGCGAATTATCCAATAAAGTGTTGAAAATGGGTCGAGTGTCAAACACCACGGCCAAGTCGACATCGGGATGATGTTGGGTAAAGTTATTTACCGTTGCGTCGAGCTGATTATTATAATCCGCCAGGAAGCCTTTGAACTGAGCTGCGACTTCAGGACCTTGTTCAATTTGGAGCGGGGCGCGGTCCGTAGGCGGAACGGTGAGGAAGACGAAGGAACGGGCTCCGGAATTGTACAGGATTTCAACCTAGAAAAAGGGGGGGATTACAGAGAGTTTGAAGTAGCCTGAACTACGAACCTGGCTGGTGAGTCGCGCCATCAATTTCTCGTAGAATATCGGCTGGCTGATGTTGGTCTATTGCAATCCTCATTAAAGCACTTGGAAGAGCAATCCTTTATGCTGTCCGCACGGAGTATAGATGCTTACCCATGGAAACGAATTACCCTGTCAGTACGAAGCCGCGTTGAGCTGAGAACATCGTGTGGAATCAATTCAAGAACGTACCACATCATTTATCCCGATCCAAATTGCGAAAAGTGAGTTCGAACTACTCCATTCAGCGCCTACAGGCTTCGGTGCGAGGAATTCTTGAAATTGGGATACTTGGTCTACGACGGAACTTTCCAGATGAGAAGAAAGGGAAACTATTGTGAACCTATTGCGACGGAAGTAGGAGAGAACTGCGGACTCACAGGACTGTTGGAAGAAACGGGGGCACAAGCGCCGAATCGATTGTCGCGCCTCCGGAAGCCAAGTTGAATACCTGTGAGACGGTACATACATTCGCTTCAATTTTTTATCAGACGTAGTAGAAGAAAGCGATGAACTGTTGTATCTGTCACGTTGTAAGTCCCACCTGCAGATGGTTTAACGTCAACGGAATGCAAGGAATGAAAGGCGTAGAGAGTATCCACCGAGGAATTCGACCCAGTTTGGCCCGTTTGAAGAGGTCTACAAGTGTCGCGTATCAGTCTGGGAGGGATAATAGAATGTCGAAAAACACACGAAGCCCGGGACTGGGGAATCTATGCCAGCAGATATATTGTAACCTGGGCGGAGCAAATATGAGTATGAAGCAGACGTTCAAATCAAATCCCGTTGTTACTTACCATCAGTTGTATAGGAATCTCCAAACGCGAACAAAAACTCCGTATCGCCCCACGAGAATTTGCCAAACACCGAGACTGTACTGAGGAAGACGACATAGAGATTCGCCGCATTCAGAGTCAGATTGACCATCGATCCTTCACGCGATAACTCTGACAACCACAGTTCTTATATATCATCTTTCCACCGAGAAAACACCGTCTGACAGCGCATTGCATCTTCTGAGTTCTTCCGGGATAGAATTTCGAGGCGACGAGTTTTCTCAACGAGATTATGAACGAATGGTCATGCTACGAGAAGCAGATGACATGAAGCCGTGAAATCAAAAGTAATTGGCAACGAAGTTACATACCGGAAAAATGTCACCAATTGTCTTTCAACAGACTATCGCAATCTGCTAGTACTGAGTATGGTAGTTCCAGAGAGCATCGTCCCTTTATGTAAAGCATGTTTTCTTCATATATTCAAAGCTTCATTGTGGAAAAGATAGAGTGTGTATTGCGAGCGCTTAATCTTGGACGGTGTAAACGCTCGCGTAGCGGCTACTGCTTGGGCTACTCGGTCTCTACTCTCTAGCTACTTTCTCCTCACAAAATATTGTATCAATCAACCGTATAACCAGGCGGAACCTCAATCATTCCAAGATTCACTTCCTCCTCCCCGATTTGCCGCAAGCCACTGTCTATATGAACAGTGAATGCTCTTTCTTGCTGAACTGACCCCTCCGCAAGCAGGCGATCGCGATGAGCAATTTCACCTTGCAAAACTGCAAGCCGCTGCTGGAGTTTCAAATTGGCCAATCCGTTTGCTGGATCACCACCAGTTTGTGCAGTGCCCTGTTCACCAGAAGGGTCAAGAGTTGTTGTATCTGTCGTGAAAGAGATTTAGAATGCATATGTCAAAACTACAGAATGAAGTGAAGAAGACACACAAAAAGACTGTAGGTTGGGTGGTGGGTCAGTGGATGATTTACTATGAAGTGGAATATTGATATCATCCTGATATCGAAATGGCGTTGCAATCAAGCCTGGGTATCCAAAGGGCATTCCAGCAAGTTGCATGTTTCTTCTTCTTCTTCTGAATATCAAGGCTGCTGCGCCAATAAGCAGCAGAGCTGCCACAATAGAACCTATGATGACCCCAGCTATTACTCCATGGTTCAAAGGTGATGCAGCTGATTGAACTAAGATGGGTCTAGGGGAAGGTGAAATGAGTGATGTAGCATAAAAATAAGCAATTTCCAATGGCATTGCAGATTGGCTGCCATTGAAAACCACAGATACTGTGTGTTCCCCAACACTAAGATTGCTAGTTGTAAATAGCAGTTGCTTGGCCAATGAGGTGGAACCAGGTGGAACTGCAGGTAATTGAAAACCCACAGGCTCTTCATTGTCGACCTGATATGATGCAGTGTTGGACACACTACCAGAAGTATCTCCATAAAGAGACAAGGATGTCCCTGTGATGATTATGTGGATTCCAAATCTGCGGAGATCCGTCAAGAAAATAGACAACTAACATACCATTGAACTTGAGGATTGCTTTAGACCCAGGAATGTTTGTTGCAGTTGTATCATTACTAGTACCAGTCCACCCCGCATCAAAGGTGATCATGCTGTAGTTCGAGACATCAATAAGCTCTGCATTCCCAGCCTGTAATACTTCTCCATTGAATGCAGGATTGTTCAAACTTTCGTAGGTAATGTAGTCAAAATACCAGTCCGAGTTTGGATAATTAGTGACATTGATCAGAAGTTCATGTTCACCTGGAGATGAACCTCCGATTCTGGAATCAGCGCGACATGCAAGCATGTTGCTGTTAGCAAGTCCTGTCAGATATAAATCACCAAAAGACCATGTCGGCACTCCATCAAGGGTGCAATTGATGAAAGGCAGTTGACCATTGAAAATGGCAGTACTGTCTTGAGTACCATACACTCCAAGATAAGAGGATCCTGCGAGGGGAGTGTAAGAGCTAATGTGTTTAAGAAGTGACATACCCAGAACGCACCATTGAACCGAAAACTAATAGTAACATTACCAGTAGTGTAGTGTAAAGTATCATTATAAACAGAACCAGTTTTGCTCTTCTTGTCAAAATCCGAGCCAGGTTCATTTGTGGGGCTTCCTGTGTTGTTCACGGCAGTCCAAGAACCATTGTACTTGAGTCTGGGGTCTGTGTCATCAACCATGAACCACACAGTAGGCATTGTAGAATGTGAGTGTATCACCAGAAAATCGAGGAATGAAGGATGAGGAGCCAAGATGCAAAGTCCAACTATAAGAGTAGCAAACCTTTACTTAACCTTTAGTTGATGAAGAAGATTGATACCCGCAGATAGTTGGCTACTGCTACCATCGAATGATAATTAATCAGTTTGTCGTGTGGTAGTATTGTGAACACTTCGATCTGTTGATACTGGCAGACTGACCTTGAACTTGTCAGGTCAATACTTACACATTGCAAAACACTTTTCATGGTCATCATCAATCTATCCCAGACACTCCGCAAAGATAATCATCATGTGTAGGGTTTACTATCTTTGATGTAGGAAACACTAGGAGAAGGCGACAGTTCCTTTACGGGACCATGTTACTTTACCAACAGCACTGCATATCCCATCTTATATTCATCGCTACGTTGCTTCATCACAAGTCCATTGATTCAGAAAGCTGTTACCTCCATACATCCAACGACAGAATCTGGACATGAACCATCTCCCGTGCCTTGTCAGACTGGTAACTACATGGTGAAATCTTGATCTCATATAGATCCAGACGAAAGGCTCTGGGATGGTGAGGGTAAACATATTAAAAACTCTTTGTGCCCCACAGCGTGGTGTATGGCCTTGTGCCGGTTGAAATTTTGAATCAATATATTCAATCAGTTAACCCACTGTCAACAATGCCACTCCACTGTATAACCTGGAGAAACCTCTACCGCCTCCAACTCATGATTAAGCCTTAGATTTGGAGCAATCGCTCCAGTGGTAAAACACAAACCACTGTCTGTACAAATAATAAGTGTCATGGCTGTTAAAATCTTAGCAAGCTGCAGGTCCCACTGAGCTATTTCTTCCCACAAAACTGCAAGTAAGTGCTGAAGCTTTGTGTTGATCGGAGAATTGGCTGAATCCAGGCCTGAATCCTTATGAATATGTTGTTGTATCTACAAACACAATTGAGTCACAAAACTGAATAGATATTCAAACCATGAAGGAAAACAATGACTCGCTGGGAGGAATATTACACAAAGTATGGTCTTGCCGGTGTCGAAATTCGAATGTGAATGGTGACGTGATCAGGCGCTGGGACTCAAAGTGTGTCAAGACAGATTGTATCCCTTTTCGTTTCTTTTGTAGTACCAGGTACATAACCAATAGCAGCGTCAGAAATAAAACTCTACACCAGAGCCCAGTACGGGCCCGATTATCTCGCCGATATTTGGATGGGTTGGAGGGGCAAGAGAGACCAGAAGAGCTAGGAGAGAATGATGAAGCGACTGATGTCTATTGCGCGGCTGTGAGTGAGATAAACAACATTGAGTGGCTGTTCAGATTGACTGTTCTTGAAAGTAACAGACATGTGTTCTCCCGAACTGAAATTGCCAGCGGTAGATAGTAACTATTTGGCTTTTAGGGTTGATTCGATAATACTGACAACAGGAAGCTGAAATATCACAGCATTCTGGTCGTCAACTCGATACGCTGCACATTCCCTAGGCCGCCATACAGATCTAGAGAAAACGATGTTCCTGGGACGTTTCACAATATGAATCTGACCTAAGTTCAGGCATAGAAATTTGGCAACCTACCTACCATTGAATTTCAACGTTGCCATAAAGTCGAGAGTGCTTGTGATCGTCGAATGATCGTTATGGACAATTCACGCCTCGAAAGTGAGCATGCTATGATTCAAGACATCGATGAGCCCTACATTCCCGGCCTGTAATACCTCTCATCTGCAAAACCTGTATGTTCGGCTAAATAGCCAAAAGCAGCTCAGAGCACTTGGGAGCACTTCCCAGCAGCAAAAGCACCCAGAGCAGCCTTTGATTTTTGCTTTGGGTGCTTTTGTCGCTGGAGAGCGCTCTCCAGCTAGTATCCTTGCTCTGGCGAGTATACATGTTTTGCAGATGCTCCATCAAATACTGGATTGACCAGACTCTCGAACGTGATGTAGTCAAAATCCTGATCCATGTTGAGGTAAATCGAGACATTGATTATGAGCTTGTGTTCTCCTATGAAGCTCCTGCGAGGATGAACGTGAGCGGAAGGTATCAAAAACTGTACAAACACATCATTGAACTAGAGACTAACAGTAACATTGCCTGCTGTCTAGTGTAGAGTATCATTATACACAGGGCTTGACTCGTCGAAGTCGATTCCGGGTCCTCTGTATAACTATTTGTATCGTTCAAGGCAGACCAGGAACCAGTTTCGCTGACCTTAGGGTCCGTGTCATAGCCATTTTAGAGGAGCGCCGAGCCACCGCTGCTAACACCAGCCTACCATAGACTGCGTTATAATACAATTTGATAAGTTTTGGCTTCCGAACTGATTAACGTTGTAGGAGAAATCCGGTGAGTTATATGAATACTGCAGCTTTTGGAAACTACTTGCCTTGAGCATCATCAAGCAATGCCATTATCTGGAGGCTGGCTTTGGGTAATGAGTTTTCATGTGGCTCAATTTTCAAGCGTGTTTTCGTGAGAAGACCAAAGTTCTCGGTCAACAACCGGCTAACGCCTCAAAGAGGACTTCAAGAAGATTTGGATAACTGCAGGCTGGGTTGTATGAAGAGGGGACCTTCTCATGATCCGATGTGGGACTGTAACATCTGCGATCGTTCATCGACCGCGTCACGGTAATGACAGGAGTCCAAGTTTCGGGATGAAAGGCCGAGACTTTCACGTGTCGTTTCGGCCGTTCATGATTCGAGTCACTGTAGAAATTCAAACAAGTTACAGTGGAGCTCTTTCTGCCTTTTAACTTCCATCTTTCTCTGTTTCTCGTTCTTTCTATAGCCGTCTCTTTGGCTGACATTCCCTCTTTTCAAAATGTCCTTACCCGCAACAAAAATGCGAGTACACAGGATGCCAAAAACTCAACCATTTGTACGGTGTCGGTCAACTACAGCTTCAAGCGGGTACTCGATGATAGATGCAAAATCAAGAGTTCGTGAGCATGCTAGGAATATTAGTCGCACATCTTCGAAGAATGCTACGGCTGCTCCCACTTTGTATGTATTTCGAATTAGATCTAAGCGTCTCTCATTCGGTTTCCAGGCGTCCATCTCCTTCACCCGGTTTTCAGCAGATACCGACCAAAAATACAAACATCAACCTACCTTCAGGCCCTGGTCCAGAGCCCAATGCACCTCTGGACCGTACTTTTATCGGTCTGTCTGGAGGCCAGATTTTCCACGAAATGATGCTCCGACATGGTGTAAAACATATCTTTGGTTATCCCGGTGGAGCTATTCTTCCTGTATTCGACGCCATCTACAAATCTCCCTACTTCGACTTCATCCTTCCTCGGCATGAACAAGGTGCAGGACACATGGCGGAAGGGTACGCTCGCGTGTCTGGGAAACCTGGGGTCGTCCTTGTGACATCCGGTCCTGGTGCAACTAATGTGATTACTCCCATGCAGGACGCTCTGAGCGACGGTGTTCCTTTGGTCGTATTCTCTGGTCAGGTGGCTACATCTGCGATTGGCTCCGATGCCTTCCAGGAAGCCGATGTCATTGGTATTTCTCGCAGCTGCACGAAATGGAACGTCATGGTGAAGGACATTTCTGAGCTTCCCAGAAGGATAAACGAGGCATTCAAAATCGCTACATCTGGTCGTCCGGGTCCCGTCCTCGTCGACCTTCCTAAGGATGTCACTGCCGGAATTCTTCGTACCCCTCTACCCTACAAGGCCACCACACCTGGCATCAACCTTGGCCTTCCCATGAATCCTTTACAGGCTTTGGAAGCACCGACCGACGTTGCTTTGATTCAACAGGCAGCTGCACTAATCAACCAGGCTCAGCGTCCCTTGATTTACGCCGGCAATGGTGTTCTTTCATCACCCATGGGACCCAAACTCCTCGCTAAACTGGTACATGAAGGAAACATCCCGGTGACTACCACTCTGCAGGGTCTTGGCGCGTTTGACGAGACGAACGAAAAGAGCTTGCACATGCTTGGTATGCATGGCAGCGCCTACGCCAACCTTGCTATGCAGGAAGCGGACGTCATTATCGCTCTAGGAGCTCGCTTCGATGATCGTGTGACCGGTAAAGTCGACACCTTTGCCCCCGCCGCTCGAGCTGCTGCGCTGCAAGGCCGTGGTGGGATCATCCACTTCGAAATACAGCCGAAGAACATCAATAAGGTCGTTCAGGCCTCTATTCCTATCCTCGGTGACGTCGTCACAAACATGGCGTCACTCGTTCCTTTGATTCAGTCATCTCCTCGACACCAATGGTTTGAGGACATCAAGCAATGGAAGGAGAGGCTCCCATTTACATACACGAAGGCAAAAGCTGGTGAACAGATGAAGCCGCAAGAAGTCATTGAGGAGCTGGACCGACAGGTTCAGGATAAGAAGGAGGATGTCATTATTTCCACTGGCGTTGGTCAGCACCAGATGTGGGCTGCTCAGTTCTACCGTTGGACGCAGCCTCGTCAGATGGTCACTTCTGGAGGTCTTGGTGTAAGTCTACTTTTGAATCACCTTAACACTGCTGAATGAGTTCATCATTTTTCAGACTATGGGCTTTGGTTTGCCTGCCTCTATTGGTGCCAAGGTCGCATCACCACAAAAAATCGTTGTCGACATCGACGGCGACGCATCGTTTAGTATGACCGCTATGGAGCTGCAGACGGCGTCGCAGTATAGCATTGGTGTCAAAGTCCTCATTCTCAATAACGAGTTCCAGGGAATGGTTTTGCAATGGCAAGGTTGGTATTGGTTGTCGCTTCACCCGATGAACATTCGCTCATTCTCGTAATTCGCGTTCCTGTAGATCTCTTCTACGACGCCCGCTATTCGCATACCAAAATGACGAACCCCGACTTTGTTCGTCTCGCTCAAGCAATGAATGTACACGCGATCAGGTGTACGAGTGCTGAAGATTTACCCGCGAAAATGAAAGAGTTCCTGGAATATGATAATTCAAAACCCGTTTTGTTGGAATGTGTGGTGGAGAAGAACGAACATGTGTTCCCGATGGCAAGTTCATTTTTCACTTATTCCTTGGTTGATATCTCATATACTTCTGCTAGGTCCCTGCCGGTAAAGCTCTTCACGAGCAATTCGTCCATCCCACTCTTCGGGAATCAAAGAAGGCGTGAGGGAGTATCAGACGATATTTGTTTCAAACCTGATCCTATTGCTGCCTCTGCTATCAGCTATGTATCATCACAAAAAAGTACAACGTGGATTTTATTATGCTTGCTTATGCCTTTTGATGGGATATCTTTTTTCTTCTTCGGGGTCGTCAATTTTTTGCTTCGCGACACCCTCATGAGCAGCGAGCCGCTAGGTACACATAATTTGCATTGGCTTCTTTAAACATATACATGTATTTCTACCAACATTACCACTAGCTGACCACTAGTTGACCAATTTGTTATAAAAAGATGGTTGCTTGAATTTTCAAAGCATGTGTTTTATGTTTTGTCCGAGACGCTGGTGAAGAAGGATTGATAGTTTCAAGGACGTATGGCGATTCAAATCATAATTGTGCAGCTAATCCTCGCAAAACCCTAATCTCGAAACCCTCTTCTCTTAATTCTTCAAGACCTTTGGAAAACGGCTGACGCGGGGTATTCCAGGATGCCAGATAGAGGTGAAATTTTTGCAAAGGTACACACCCATACGGCCTCGCAAAATCACTCCTCCTTCGAGACCGGATCATCTCTTTCATCGGATCCATGACCCAACTTGGCATGAACAGTCCTTGACTATCGTCGTAATTGATATCTAGCACCAGTACCTCAAGTTTTGGTAACACTACCTCCCCGATCGACCCGGAACTCGACGGAGAGGGCGGAGAAAGTATCTCATATAGAATGTTCACAACGTCTTGATTGTGATGGAAACATACTCCGAATGCCAGTTGGCGGACCATGGGTAAGCCCAGGAGGAACTCTCTGGCTCCTAAGTAGTCGGCAGGGGCGTCAAATACACTACGAATAGTGACCTTTGTCAATGAAGAACCAAAGCATGATCCAGCCAGTGACAACGCAGCGAAATTTGCTAAAGAACCTGGACCGGTTGCAAGACGGAAATCAAAGAGGGAGGGGAAGACGATTGGTGGTTTGGATCTGTCGGGATTAGATGGGACCGGGAGGAGGTCCTGGAATAGCTCATGCTCATGCTCAGGACGCATGAGCACATTGATGCTGAGAGACTTAAGAGACTGGTGTGAAATAGGAAGTAACGCCCCGAGCTGCCCCGAATCTGAACTTGCATATTCTCCAAGAATGTTGCCACGGGGTCTCTCCAATTTGGCATGTAATGCATGGAGGTTGGGAGTAAGTCGCAAAACTTCAATACAATTCCGTACTTCCATACGTTGAGTTCGATAGATGGTAATTTGGTTCCAAGGAAGCCGAAAGGAATCCAAAGATAGGTGAGAGCTCATTGTGACAGAAGTCAGCTTAGGCGCATCCTCGAAGACGTCCATAGCATGGGGTAATGATCGCGCGTTTTGTGGCTCCAAGCTCAAGTTCAACGTCTGGAGTGAGTCTAAGTGTCCTTTCGCCGGGACGAGTCGACTTAGGACTGTTATCGGTATGAAGAGGTCAATAACCTTCCATCGATTGGATACCCCCACTAGCGTGTCCAAACAGCGAAGCCAGTCGTCTCGAGTGGTAGCACCGACATCAGATGGGCAAGTGAATGCAATGGTCAAAAGGCAATTCCTCGTCCGCTCAAGACAAATGCGAATAATTTCAGTAGAGTGACGGGAAAACCTAGCAGCGCGTGCCGACAATCTGAAGTTCAATTCGATGGTAGACCACAGCAGAGGCATTTCCGAGGATATTATCAATCTCCAACGGATACAGATATGTCCCAAATACCAAAGCTGGGCGCAGCCGAAAGGAACAGACATAGGTTCTGAGAGTACTTCATGGAAGATTCGGATGAGGAGTTCAACGGGTAGTCGACAAATGGGAGAATGGCTTGGTAGAGAAACTTTGTGGCCATCGAGCGCCGACTCCAGTACAAGTAGAGAATGTGAAGATCGTATTTTGTTGTTTTCATCTGCACTGGCGGCTTCGCGTAATGGATCTAATGGGCACATAGGATTCTAGTTGACCTTCATGATGTATCATTCAATTTATGTCGAGTCTAACGGTGAATATTCCATACTCACCTTACGCCTTCTGTCGAAGTATCCCAGGAAATTTCAATACAGAGCACTTGCGAGATGTATCTCTGCTTTGTAATTATGTCGTTTGTCATTCCCGCTATATGGCCTGGCTATAGATCATTTGTGCTTCATCATTCAATAATTCATGAACGAAAAGAAAGAGGCCTGGGAATAATGATCAACGCTTTGACCTTTACAAATTACAATACGAAGCCTTTTATCCAGTTTTCTTCAACGGTTTTCGATATTTTGAAAAATCCCGAATCTCTACAGGAGGATGCGTCGAGGGGGCATGAAGACGCCGAAGGCGACAAATCCTGAATCAAAGGTATCCATTACACGAATTCAAGTGACTTTCAAGTATTCATCTCCATGACTCCTCCTCCCATTTAGCTTGGCAATGATAATGAGCTGCATTCAATACATCTCTTATTATGAACCGATGTGCAGGCTCAAACTATGTACACTCCCGAGATATCACGCGGAATCTACTTGAATTCAACAGACAAAATGCAATGCACACTGATGATATCAACCAAGATCAATGACCATTTGATTTCGACCTCTTACCTTTTCTGCCCTTCTTCTGCATCCCTTGCGAGTACATCTGCGCCTATACTGTGGCTACTGTAATGGCCCAAAACGGTGCTGAAGAGCATGAACATGCCGTGACCTTATTGTACCATAGCGGTCATGTCATAGCTGTTATACCTCAGACTCTCGTATACGGTGAATAACCTATTCATCCACTGCGTACAGACTCTGACGGTGCCCAATTAACAGGAATATATGCTGTCTTGGTCCCCGTTTCTTCCTATGTCATGCTGTAGGCTGTCCTCGAACTGTTTATGTTGCAATCAATCAACTTGTACAATAGCCGTAGAGGACTTGCGACAAGAGCACGAAAGATCCTGTTTGGAATATCGATTTTCATGTTCTTACTTTCGACAGTGTACTGGATTGCCTCGGTTTCAACATTGATCCAACTGATCCAAGTCTGGTTCCTTGCTTCCGATCCTGATGCCCACAGCGCACCAAATTATTTACCCATCTTGAATGCCTTGGCCTTAGTAAACGTACGCCCACAATCTCTGCTGGAAGGCAACTATAGTGCTGATGGCTTGGTTATAGTACATCATAACTGACGGAGTAGTTGTCTGGCGTGCATGGGTTTTATGTTCGGGCGATGGTACGAAGGCCTTAACTATGTGTCTGTTCATGCTCGGCCTCGCTACAGGTGTGTAATGCAAACCAATCTCTTTTTCGAGTATCATTGACCCGGAATCCGCCCTTCTACATAGTCTCCGTGACTGCAACGATCGTTATTCGCATTACCCTCATGGTAATCGATACCCAAGTTGGGGAGCTGTTCAACCAGCTGAATCACGGCATCAACGTTACGCAGGTGGCAACTTTGGTGTTATCTCTTCTCACAAACTCACTAGCCACGTTCTTGATATCTCTGAAAGCTTGGTTGGTCCTTAGCCTATAGGCCTTAATTTCCAGTATTAACATAAACTTACATCGTTCTCTAGGAGAAGTCGAACTGAGATACGAGATAACTTGGATTCCGCCGTTGACAGACATTCAAGAGCCGGGAAAATATTCGCACTTCTCGTTGAGACGGGTGTTATTTACTCACTATCCTGCGTGCGGCATCTTTGTTCAAAGAGATAGATTCAGCCTGATGGACATGAAATAGCTTACTGTGTTCGTGTCTTCACTCATACCACTAAAAGAAGGAACCCTTGGTGACTTGTATACGCCCGTTAACATCCAGTTCGCAGTACGCAACTTCAATCAATCAAGTATCTCTTGTTCACTTGAACTAACAACCCACCACCAGGGAATATATCCGGTCGCTGTCCTCCTCCTCGTCACTCAAAACCATACCCTTGACAGAACAGTCCGGGCATTCGCTTCCGGAGTAGAGCAAACTCAGTTTCACCACACTGGGCAATTGGACACAATGCGCTTTCAACGTGGATCCGTGATATCCTTAGAAACCCAGACGAGTGGCAATATTTATTGGTATGGTCGAAAACCTGGGGATAATCTGAGTGGGCTTCCACCGATCCCATCTCCAAGAATCACGTGGGGAGATACAGAGCGGGTGTAGTGACAGGAGTATCCTGGAATATCTGGACAATTTGGTTCCTTTTATTACCTTTTATCACCTAGGTCAATTCACGCTCAAGATGTAGATTGTGGTACTACGGCTTGACAACGTTACACAATTAGAGCCACTGTGGCACAAACCCGAATGAAACCAAACACCATCCGGCGCCGAAACGGCCAACTGTCGCGTCTCGTCATGTTCATGTCATAGCGCGGCGGGATCAAACAAACTCATGTATCTCCGGCCAGATCCCCATGAATTCGGAACATGATGATACGCCACTCGATCGTTGACAAATCTGCGCTGAGTTTGCGCTTTCATCAGCAGCATCTCTTCCTCGGTCGTGGTCGCAAAGCATTTTGTCTCCTCATACATCCTGGTGACCGGTCTGTCAAAATCATTTGACTGCCGACAGCTCTCGTGGCCTGTTGGATTTTCAAGATCCTTCTTGCATTTACCAGTTTCATTCCCTTATACCTAACCAGAAAATTGTGGACCAAGATTCACGAGAGTGCGGAGAGGTTTGTTCCCCGAGTTACTCAAGACTGGGATGCCTGCAGTTCGCTAAGGCACTGAGCAATCAAGATTTTCTATTTACATTGATGAATTCGCTACACATATTTCACATCTGCATAGTCACTCGCGAAGCTTATCACGGTGAAGAACAAGAGGACGAGCGAGACAGAGACAGAAGAGCGGACTGACGAAAAGTGCCGCGTTTCCATTGATAATGGTTTCCCACGATCCGGATGACCAGGCAAGCAATATGAATGAATGAACAACGCTTTGACCTATACAAGTACATGCCATCATGATGAATCAGCGCTTCTGTCTATCCACAAGCTTCAAGAAACCATATGGAGGTACTCGACCTCTCTATCCACTTTTCTGTCTGATACTTTTCAATGGCTCTCAGTATTTCCAAATATCCTGAACCTCTTCGATAAATTTGAGGCATAAGGACCCCCAAGGCAACAAATCCTATAACACCTTGAAACCAAAGGTACCGATTCTTTGTCCAACACGAATTCAAATGACTTTTGAGTATTCAATTATCATCTCTTCGAAGTTAGCTTGGCCAGCAATGATAATAAACATTCAATCTATGACTGATTACATACGGTTGCCAATGCTCTGCTCGTCAAACTACCTCCCGAGATATCACGCAGAATTTACTTGAAGTCAACATATATGCTAAAAATGTAACTCTTCACGTTGCCATAATAGTTCACTGATATCAAACCAAGACCAACCACCTCTTGATTGCTTACGGCCTCCTTCCTCTTTCTGTTCTTCTCCTGCATTCCTCGCAAGCACATCTGCACCCATACCCTGGCTACTGCGATGGCTCAAAACGGCGCTGAAGAGCATGAACATGCAGTGACTTTATTATACCATAGTGGTCACGTCATAGCTGTTATACCTCAGACTCTCGTATACGGTGAATAACCTATTCATCCACTGCGTACAGACTCTGATGGTGCCCAATTAACAGGAATATATGCTGTCTTGGTCCCCGTTTCTTCCTATGTCATGCTGTAGGCTGTCCTCGAACTGTTTATATTGCAATCAATCAACTTGTACAATAGCCGTAGAGGACTTGCGACAAGGGCACGAAAGATCCTGTTTAGAATATCGATTTTCATGTTCTTACTTTCGACAGTGTACTGGATTGCCTCGGTTTCAACATTGATCCAACTGATCCAAGTCTGGTTCCTTGCTTCCGATCCTGATGCCCACAGCGCACCAAATTATTTACCCATCTTGAATGCCTTGGCCTTAGTAAACGTACGCCCACAATCTCTGCTGGAAGGCAACTATAGTGCTGATGGCTTGGTTATAGTACATCATAACTGACGGAGTAGTTGTCTGGCGTGCATGGGTTTTATGTTCGGGCGATGGTACGAAGGCCTTAACTATGTGTCTGTTCATGCTCGGCCTCGCTACAGGTGTGTAATGCACACGAATCTCTTTTTCGAGTATCATTGACGTCGACCCGGGATCCGCTCTTCTACATAGTCTCCGTGACTGCAACAATCGTTATTCGCATTGCCCTCATGGTAATTGATACCCAAGTTGGGGAGCTGTTCAACCAGCTGAATCACGGCATCAACGTTACGCAGGTGGCAACTTTGGTGTTATCTCTTCTCACAAACTCACTAGCCACGTTCTTGATATCTCTGAAAGCTTGGTTGGTACTTAGAGCCTATAGGCCTTTAATTTCCACCACTAATATAACCTTGCATCTTTCTCCAGGAGAAGTCGAACTGAGATCCGAAATAACTTGGATTCCGTTGTTGACAGACATTCAAGAGCCGGGAAAATATTCGCACTTCTCGTTGAGACGGGTGTTATCTATTCGCTGTCCTGTGTCCGGTACCTCCGTTTACAAAAGAAAATTTATACTAATGTAGACTCCATACAGCTTACCGTGCTCGTATCTACATTCGTGCATCTGAAAGAAGGGACGCTTGGCGACTTGTATACGCCGGCTAGCACTCAGTTTGCAGTACGCTACTCTAATTAATCAAGTAGTACAACTTCTCTACTACTAACGCTCACGCAGGGGATATATCCGGTCGTCGTCCTCCTCCTTATCACGCAAAACAACACCCTGGACAGAACAGTCCAGGCATTTGCGTCCGGTTTGGAGGAGACTGACTTTCATCACGCTAGGCAGTTGGACACTATGCGCTTTCAACGTGGATCTGTGATATCCTCAGAAACCCAGACGAATGACAACAGTTATTGGTACAGCCGAAAACCCGGGAATGATCTGAGTGGGCTTCCACAGATCCCGTCTCCAAGTCTTACATGGGGAGCTGGTACAGAGAGTGTGTGAATTGAATGTAATGCTAACTGCTAATAGACAGAATGGCAGCGCTTAGGAGGTGCTAGGAATATCTGGGTGATCTGGTCTATTTATTACCGGACTTGACAATGATACCCACAATTATAGCCATTTTGGCACCAACTATACTATCATGAAACTAAACACCCGCCGACACTGACCACAATAATATCGCGTCCGTATCACTATGGCCAGTGATCCAACGAGCCCCTGTATCTCCGATTAGCGCTATCAGCTCCTCCATAAATCCGAAACATGATGATACGCCACTCGATCGTTGGGCAAATCTGCGCTTGAACAGCGATCACAGTTAAGTTTGCGCCATCGCCAAAAGCATCTCAGCCTCTCTCCCTTTTCCTGCTTTCCCGTGGTCGCAAAGCATTTTGTCCCCCCATACGTCCTGATATCTGCAATGAGTCAAAATAGCGATGAGGAACATGAGCACGCAGTCATTCTGCTGTATAACAGTGGCCATGTCATCGGTGTGATATTACAAACCTTCGTATACGGTGACCTTTCTATCCTCCATCATTGATTCAACAGTTTCTGACGGTGCTTTCCATCAGGTATATATGCTGTTTTGATTCCTGTTTCTTCATATATCATGCTGTGAGCCATAACAGTATCGCGGCGATGGACTCACTTAGCTCGGATGTCAGCCGCAGAGGACTAGCAACAAGAGCGCGAAAGATACTGTTCGGAATGACGATTTTCATGTTTCTACTTTCGACAGCGAACTGGATTGCCTCGATATCAACGTTGATTCAACTTCTTCAAGCCTGGTTCCTCGCTCCAGATCCTGATTCACGAAGCGTTCCAACTTATTTGCCCTTTTTCAGCGCGTTGATCTTGGTGAACGTACGTTTGTTCCCAACTTTGAGGTTGTGAGGATGGTAAGTCACGGTATTGATTATTGCTTGTAGTATATCCTTACCGACGGAGTCGTCGTCTGGCGAGCATGGGTACTATGTTCAGTCGACGGAACCAAGAGTTTGATGATGTGTTTTTTCATGCTCGGCCTAGCTACAGGTGCGCAAATAAATCTCTTCTTCTCAGATTTGTCAACCAAGGAACGTTGAATCTTGCAGTTTCCGTCTGTACAACGATTGTCATCCGAATCATTCTCTTGATCGACAGGAGGCGGTCCCCGGAACTGAACAGTCGACTGACCCAGGGCATCGACGTTACGCAGGTGGCAACTCTGGTTCTATCCCTCGCAACAAATTCCCTAGCCACCTTCTTAATATCTTTGAAGGCTTGGTAAGTTCATATAACAACTAATATACATTTCTTGACCTATTCAAGGAGAAACCGAACTGAAATACAAGATAAATTGGACTCCACTGTTGACAGGCGTTCCAAAGCCGGAAAAATTTTTGCTCTCCTCATCGAGACGGGCATCATTTATTCCATATCTTGCGTGCGCTTTCTTCTTGAAATTGGAAGAGAATGCTCTTATGCTGAACCCACCCGATACAGCTCACGGTGTTGATGTCTACACTTATACCATTGAAAGAAGGTACATTGGGTGACTTATATACCCCTGTAAACACTCAGCTCGCGGTATGCAACCTCTGGGTTTGATTAATTCAAAATATCTATACTCAACGTCACTACTGTCCCAGGGAATTTACCCAATCGTCGTTCTCGTTCTGGTAACACAAAATCACACTCTTGATAGAACTGTCCGAGCGTTCGCTTCCGGGATAGAGCAGACTCATGATCACTATAGTGGGCAGTTGGAAACAATCCGCTTCCAGCGTCAGTCATCCACTACAGATACTATGTTGCTGTCAGGAAACCAGTCCAGTGAGGGAACTTATTGGAATAGTCAAAAACAGGGAGATCAGAACGGACTTCCACCGATCCCATCATCGAATATTACATGGGGTGAAATCAGCTTGAGGGAAAATGCGTGAAGGCGACGGGATCCTGATCAGGAGGCATGATATCGCTAGCATTGAACCCTTTTGGACGGATTCAACTTTGCGATCCAGTATAGCTTTATTAGATGTATAACTAAGTAACGCCACAGTACCCTCAAAAACATTGTGATGACAAAAACTTTACCATGCCATCTTCCTATTCCTCTTACTCACTATTCGGTCACATACTTGGTCAACGGATTGATTTCATAATCCACGATTGTGTTCCGATTTTGCCTGAGGAAGCATAGATAGATGGAAGTTGTGAGCCAGCCAGTGATTCTATCGAATATAGTAGTATCTTTTCGGTCATAAAACCTCATAAAACACATAAAACCCGCCAAGCCCTCAAATATTCACGGGTACCTTAACACCATCCTAATATCTTCGTAGTAATCTTCATGGTTTTTCCGGTTCGATTTCTTTCGTTCCTGGTTGAGACAGGATGGTTTTGTCTATCAACTCCATTGATATCTCTTCGTGGAACGGCAATACTATAAATTGACAGAGATTGAATCGCCACAAGAGCTGATCACGTAGCCAATCTTTACATTTAGTACGAAGTCTTGATACAGGACATCGTATGAAAAAAAATAAAGAAGAAAGGCTGAGTGCTGTATGTTGATAGACCAAGGGGGCATACATAGAACAGGTTTTCTCGATAAGATATTTGTGAGCCGCTGTCAGTTTCGTTTTAATTAATTATATATCACGTGGCTACCATTACTGCTCTTTTTAAATCTACAATCTTCTCTGCTCTTCCCCAGAACGATCGGTTAGAGGAAACGTCCCACATCTCAGGATCTGGCATATCCTGGTGTTGTCTATTTTCTATGGAAGTCAAGTAAAACAACGCTACCTTTTCCGCATTTCTTTGAGGAACTCGTTCCAGTAATCTGTGGATATGCGCTTCCCGCATATCGTTTGAGATCGGTGCTCCTGCATATTTCTGAGAGAAGTCCTGAACCAGAATAATAATAACGCGGAGTACTGGAACTCGAAGGATATTGTCAAGCAGGAGCGCAAGTTGGTCTGCAAGCATATCTGATGTTTCAGGAGTCGGAGTTTCGCTATTTGTTCCGTGAACACGGTACGAGCAGGCGAAATGGGTCAAATTAGGGAGAGCCTTGGCGGCGTCTTTGGTAAAATTTCGCGGGATATCGTGAATAAAGGCGAGATGGGTCAGGGAAGGGTACAGAGGAACGAAGACGAATTCCCCAGGTCGAAGGAAGGTACGTCCACGGACAATCAGCCGGTGTAACTTTTTGAATAATGTATAGCCATGTATTCCACGAACAGTGTTTTCCGAGATATGCAGTTCGCAAAGATCAGGGCAGGAATTGTACAGGAGTTCAGGATCAGGGATCCTGAAAGTGTAAAGCCCATTTTCCAGGTATTGTTCGGTGTCTAGTAGAACAAGAGTTCTAGTATGTCTCAGCGACGCATATCCTTCTTCAGCTCTCTCTATGTGTGCACAACTGCGAAATTCCACTGTTCGGAACAGGATAGGTGTGACCCATGCGTTGACTTCCTTAGATACTAATGAAATCGACGCGGCAGTGGCTCTGTCATTCTGGGCAGCGTATTCCAGGATAAGTCGTGCAATATCTATCGGTGCGTTCGAAAGAATCCTGGAACAGGGTTAGCCACAAACTTGCAAAGCAGTCGAAACGTTTGCTCAACTGGCACCACCTCAAGTCCAGCGATTCTCGATCTTCAAAGTCAGGATACGTATACGAGATATAAGAACCCATGGTGATTGGTCCATTGGACTCAAAATATTGTATTTCGTCAGACCGAGGTAAAACCTTGACCAATGATGGTGCTTTCTCCTTAGATCGGTGGTTATCTAACCGCTGATTGATTAGATAGCCCATGGCAAAGTACTACTACATACTGTACAGCACGTAATGAAAATTCGTCGCAAAGACAAGAAAGTGATTTTGGGCCAGCGACGTCCGTTCATTTCGACCATCAATTCTACCAATCCATCGCAATATACGCTTGACGGGCAGCCAGTGCCATCGCGACCTTCTTCTTTTTGCCCCTACCGCAGCCTTTTTCTTGACCGTTTACTGGATATAAAGTGGTGCTCAACAAGAAGAATTCGAATGATAAATGAAGACTAACTTTTACAATGCACCAACCACGCGGGGTCATGATCAAGTCCCCCTTCCCGTTCATCTACATACTGTATGAGCACTCCCTTCTGTTTTGCTGTTTGATTAACAAGTGCTAATGTTTTGTCATCTATCGGACGAGACGACAATGGGGAATTCGGAGTCGAAGGTGAGCTCAGGGGTGAATTGGCTGGAGTGAGAGGAGGGGTCTCCAGATAGAGTGGGGGCAATGAATGTGCAATACTAGACGATCTCCCCGATGATCCTGACGTTGAGAAATCCAGAGATATCAATTCGGTGATCCAGTTTTCCAGCACTGGACGAGTAGATCTTCCATTGCTGATATATATTGCTCCTACGTAAGAGAGAAAGAAGACACATATCTCCTATGGTAGCAATGAGGACTGAACACAATTTTCTCAGTTCAAAGTCAATACTTGCCTCTCGATCATGTAGGGGGTCAAGTCCTACTCTCTGAAGGAAGCGCTGCTCCATCTCGGGGTATAATCCGAGCCACGAGAGGATCTCGTCGTCGTCCAGAATTGAATCTCTTCTTTCCTAACAAAGATTCCTAGAAAATAACAATGGACAATGATGAAAGGTACTCACTTCGATATTTGTTGCAGTCAAAAACGGCCGCTCGTGGAATAAATACTGTGTTACAATCAAAGTAAGTACCTGAACCAGGATGAGTGGGAACCATGAGAACTGTTAAATACTGCAAACACCTGTTTGCCTAGCTCAGCGAGGCGATCATTGCTGTATTGAACGGTTATAGTTGAACAAGGTGAGCGAGGGGTATAGATAGCGAGAGTGAGATCGGTCGCTTCGTCTCCCACAATAACAGGAAGAGCCGGAGGAGAGTCGGTCGTTGCAGCGTTCTTCAGCATGGTGATAGTGCAAGCTTGTCGGATTACCTTTGCACCCGCACACATCCTATATAGTGGGTCAAGAGACACACACGTGTAGAACAACGAGAAGTCATCGATGGATAAGGCATTTCTATAACTGTTCTGGCATCATTCGGCGCCAGAATCAAGATGGTGATAGAATCTCATTGAATGTTTTCATGCTTTGACGTTGATGAGTGTGCTGCGCATTAACAGCTTTGCAGGCCCGTTAGTCCCCACTAGCATTTAGAAATTCCACGATTAGGATGAGATTGAAGGACTCTAAAGGGTTGTAGAGAGGTATCAACGCATATTCATTTTGTACTGACCACAAATTTATTTGGTTTATTGAGTATTCCATACTTATCCAGATGCAAGTAGATATATGAGCAAAGACTAAGAGACTAAAATGATTGTAGTTAAGAAAAAAAGATATAACGGAAAAAGAGCAACGACAAAATGCTAAAGGGACTACCGAAATACTGAAGTTTATAGAGATTGCATGAGGTAGTGAGGATTACTATAATAAATCTACGTGATTATTGTGCGGGCCCAAAGTTGATGTAGACCTGGTACTCGCAGCTCGGCCAAGGGTAGAAGACTTGTTACCATAATAACTGGAAGAAGATTGACGAGGGAATGCGACACTGCCTTGGCTGAGTTCTTTGGAGTGTCCAGCAATGACAGAACGTGTATGAGGAGTCGGAATTGTTTGCGGTACAGATGGGAATGAATCAAAAAAGTCTTTATCAAGTAGCGGTGAGCGCATTGAGGAGTCGTTCGAAGTTGTTGATATCCAAGAAGTACGGGTTGATAGTGAAGGTCGTCCTCCATTCTGAGGCGGGGTACTTGGGGGATGAAGAGAGTCAAAACTGGTTTCAGGCATGATGAGATCATGCAATGATGGTGAAGGAGGAAGGACACTTGGTAATTCAGGAATCATATTCTGTGAAGGGTCTACATGAAGAAAATTATCATTCCCCTCTTCCAAAAGAAAATTACGATCTCACCGGAATCCAACGAGCTCATGGTACTAGCGCCCGACTTCTTCCTTCCACGAAACATTTTACCCGCAAACGACGTCGCTCTACTAACACTTCCCTGATTCTTTTTCGGCGACACTGATGGCCAGGGGACATTAATCACTGATCCCGGTCGATGTCCAGACTGTGTTCTGGACCTGGTTTGAAACAAAGACCCCGTGCCAGTGAAGCCTGGGCTATTATCCGGAGGGGTAAGAACCGCAACAGAGTCCTCAGATGAGATTTCGGAAGACATTGAGACGCTGTGACGCTGAGACGCACCCTGCGAACGTGTACTTGTGAACCTTCGGAAACTGGAAAGATACTTTGCCGAGGGAGACTTGGGTGGTGGAGTTGGAGGTATATCATCCGAGTATACGTTATTGTTATTGCTGACCACTGATGGAATGTTGGGAACGGGTGGGATAGTCGATAACGAGGGTTGGGAAGAAGACGTAAGATACATGGATTTCGACCGGTTTGGTGCGGCGGAAGATTCTTTACTAGATCTAGGCGGTGCGGGACCGAGTCCCAAATCTGACTCGTCTTCCTTTCGATTAGCAGATTTGCTCCTCGCAAGGGGATTGCGCAAAGAGAAAGAAGGTTTTCTTCTCGAATCTGAACTACCACGGCCTTTCATACTCTTTGTCGAAGGACGTCTTCTCAACAAATCCTTGAACCTTTCCTGATCCTCAGCCTCCTTAGCCTGGCGCTCTTCCACACCCATACTGGGACGGGGAGGCGCAGACGTTGCACCATTGTGTATCGGATTCGTAATGACAGACTCATCAGGATACTCTCCATTCATCAACTTCTGCTCCAAAATGGCAGACTGTGCCACCAACGAGAGGAGATCTCCAAATCCAGGACTCATAGGGTCTTCTAACGTCGGAGGACGACCGCCACGGCGCTGTGGGGTGGAGGCGTTGACACGAGGGAAAGTTGCTGAATATGAAGCGGGATCATCGCGCGTCTTCCCGCGTACAACTGCGTTGAACGTATTATTTATTTTACTTCCCTCAAATGCTGGGTTGAAATCAGAGTCGGTATGTGACGAGGAGAAACTGCGTGGATGAGCCATCTTAGGCACGGGCCGCTGTGACGGATCGCCGACGACCACTGTCCCAAATTCGACGCCTGGAGGGCTGATGGTGTCTGACCAAGCTGAAGGAACGGCAGTCTTCGGCCGTTGAGGGTCTAGTTCGGGGCTTGGTTGAACATCAAGAGTCATCGGGGCAGGCCTATTCGATGTTCTGCCAACAGTAACTGTGTCAGATCCTATACGAGTGTCAGACTGAGCAGAAGGGACAATATCCACAATGTGCTGGGGTTCTGCGATGGGAGCATTGGGCTGAGCGGTGGCTTCAGCCTCGACGTTGATCGGGGATCGAATCCCTGGAAGGAACATCGGTACTCCTCGGCTCGTGAGAGGGGAGATTTTATGAGCCAAGGTAAGATGACCGGGACTGTCAGTGTAACTAGAACGAGGAGAAGGATCGTCAATGTTTCGAGCTAGAAAGGAGTCGCGGATGACAGGAGGAGGGGAAGGGATAGACAATGGAGGAAGTAGTCTGGCTTCCTTTGTATTCAACGCCGCAGTGTCGTTTTCCGTCGACCACTGTGGGGGCGGAGATGGCAGTTCATCTTCGACTCGAGAGATCGAAGTTGATATAGTAGACAAAGGATCGCTTAATTTGTGATGTGAACCGCCAACATCCTCGATCTCTTGTTGTAGCGTGGCAGACGATGCGTCCAACGACTTTTTCTCAGTCTCTACCACAGATGTGGAAGACAGAGACTCAACAGGCAGATCATCGGAACTATTGAAAGTCGAAAACTCGGTATGCAGATCAGCAACTGTTACAATCGAGGTGCTCTTTATCTGTTCACTTGGATTGCCGTGTTCCTTGACAAATGTTCTAGACTCGACACTAAGTACTAGAGGTTCAACGGGATCGACGGAGACCTCGGAAGAGACTGCTTCTGGGCGGCGAGAAGATTCGTGGACACCGTCGTGTGCCTCTGAGTCCACCGAAGCTAGAAGAACGTTACTAGAAGGTATTTCCGTAACTTCAGATTGGTTCTCGAATGAAGTGTCTTGCAGCACCTCTGTTTCGAGCGCAACAACAGAGGCAGACTCCGGCGGTATGAAGATCAAGGGTGAGCTTTCTTCATGCCAGCTGTCAAGCGAGATACTAGGATCCACAGCCGCTGGACTCATGTCCTGCATGTCCGGTAGAGAAAAATCTACTGATTCGTCAAGCATAGCCTTCAGTGAACATATCGTGAACAAGGAACTTGTATAAGGAGAACAGATGGGCACATACCAGATCAGATGATAGTGCCTCATCTGGTACAGCAGGCACATCCAATTGAGGGGAAACAATGATAGCTGGAGGATCCTCCGTGAGAAAAGAGAAACGTCGGTTTGCGATGATAGGAGGAGGCGAAGAAGGCGGCGGCGAAGTGGAATTTTCTCGCCAACGGGGATCATACACCTGCTGGTTTTCAATTTCGGCTTTCCGAGCAAGTTCCATGGCTTTAGAGAAATCTGTAGCTCTGCGACCAGTATGAATTGGCCTCAACGGCTCAAGAGGTGGACTTGGGGATGAGAATGAGCGCGTAGATCCTTCTAATGGCGAGGGAGATCTAGTACTGTTGGCTGGACCGGTAAATTGCTGCATGAGGGAGCCACCTGTGTACTGAGGTCTGATAGATCCGCCGCCAGTGTTTTGCGGCTTGACTGGGGCAGGAATACGATTTCCGTACAATTCTCTACTAGCCTTAGCCTGTCCAGAGTCCGACGGAGGTGCTCCCAGGCCAAAACTCCCTCTAGGAACAGGTACGCCGCCTTTCCTCTCAAATTTCGCGATCTTTTCTCTCAGAGCGGCAACATTTGACTGAGGTTTTGAAGAAGATGAACCTGCCGTCGTAAGAGGCGGTGACGTGGGGTGCTGTGTTTGGTCGGCATTTTTCTGCTGTAGCGCTGCAATCCGTTCCTTCAAGTTCACTGGAGGAGCTTGTGTTCTCAACGACGTCCTGCAGTAAACATGACCAGTATTAGAAAGGTATTACAAAGATAAAACAACGCACATGGGTTAAAATAAACGATTGTGAAGCCCGGTTTGACCAAACTGTTCTTTACAGACCGTCCAGCGACTGTAAGTTGGTCACAGAAGACGAAAATGCTAATGAAAGTCAAGCAACAAGTGCTGGACGAGCACGCTGACGGGGATGTTGAAGAGGACAAGGTGATTGATGGAGAAAGAGTTCAATTTAATTATTTTAATTTGAACCCTAATTACTCCGAAAAAACTCCAAAACAGGCAAGTTGCAATGCCTCCGCGTCACAACATAAATATGTAGCATGTATTGCCATTGGTCATTTTAGCCGTTGCAGGTTTCAGAAGTATGGCAAATTTACAGATGAAACTAAATTTTACTGAACAGCTTAGTAGAGCAATGTATCTGAGCGAATTCTACTGCATGGATGCTGTAGCATCAGATGGAACTTATACAAGGAAAATTGAACAATCATTAACATTCCTGCATAACTAAGACTCCGTCGTCTATGTGCCGCCTAGTACCAATTACTTCGTTCAATTTGACCTATACATAATGGATAGTTCTGACAATGTACAAAAACACTGACCATCCTGGCCAAGGTGGGGCGCAAAACGAGCGATTCTCTTCTCAGGACTGATCTCGAGCAATTCATCTATTTGACAAAGAACGACACATGCTGCAAAGTGGTTCATTCCATCCGCAGCAGCAAGGTTTTCTTCATCCTGTATTCAAGCAGAAATTAGAAAGAAGATTTCAGCACAAATATTACCGCCACATGCTCACCTCCCCAACTCCATCATCGAGCCACGCACGATCACCCCAGAGCCCGGTCGCACCACCCTCCCTCCTCTCCGACTCGTCACCAAAGGTTCTGGCAAATACTGCAGCATCTTGTACCGTGTCGGTCAATGCAGTTATCACTTGACATCCTTCCCGTTTATTCTCGCATGCCTCCGCCAGGGAAACATCCCTACGAAATTTTCTTAAGACTGCTCACTGATGGTATTTATGAGCACGTCGACTTATGGCAGCGCGAGTAAGTTTGAGAACATGACTGCGGTGTGTGGATCAATGATAAGATCTACACCCAGGCTCAGCATCTCACGTTCTACCAGCCCAACACTACTGAGATGCCAGAATGCAATCATGATCGCACCAAGCCTTGTTTCTGTATCAAAATTCATCGACGAATTCGATCCTCCTCGTCTTGTTGATAGTCGGGACGTTTTCGTTGACCATGTAGCAACAAAGGGGTTATTCGAATGATCCCATTCCAGGTCTGTGACCTGGGCAATCGCCTCAGGATTAGATGGATTTTGATTCTCCTTGTCACTGTCAGATCCAAACTCCTCAACAAATTCATATCCGTACTGATTTGTGTGGGGGTATTCATCTAGCACCTGGACCGCAAAAGACTCAAGAGGTTGATCATCCGCGTGGAGAGCACGATCATGCGTATGAATAGCAATGTCGCTTTCTTTCTCGAGGAAGGAAGGGATACCGAAATCCATTTTGGCACGGGAGAAAAGTTCGGCGTCGTAAACCTGGGATGGCGGAGCAGCGTCGGAAGTGAAATTGAACGAATGTTGTGTGTTCAGATCAGCAGGGGCGGAAGCAAGAGAAGAGCGGGCGACCATCTCTTCAAAACCACCAGCCACCGCCACCGCTCCACCTACTGGGTCCACATCACAATCTTCCTCTTCTCGCTCATCTAGGTGTTGGGCGGTTTCCATACCCTCACAATTATCCGCGGCCCTCTCTACCATTTCAGAACTAACTGGCCCTTTCAACCTCCTCCTCCGCTCCTCTCTCGATAACATGATATCGATCTTTCCAACATCCACACTCGATGTTACTTGATCTCCACGATGAGACCATAGCACCCAGATCCGTTCTCTAGATTTGGTTTGTGCTTGACTTTGACGTTTTTCGCAACTCCGCAGGCCTCCTTCGCTCGTTCTGACAGTTCCTCCACTCTCACTAGACTTTGTTCTTTCGTCATGCCAAGCCGGCCGAATCCACTGAGTACACCGTTCCGCTTACTCAAGGTCTCGAGGGGAAAGAAGGCGCAGCCAGAGGATCAAATAACGGGTGAGAATATGTTAAAACATAGTCAAGGCTAACGACTAACCTCTCCTTCGCGCCGATTTTCTTAGTTTTGTTCGCTGTCGACCCTTTGGCGTGTCTGTGCATAAAAATAAGCAAAAAACGTATAGACTCGGAGTGGAAACACAAATTTTACTCACCCATTCGTGATTCTTTCAACAGTTTTATCGGCGATAGGGGAGACGAAACGGTCAAGTTCAAGTTAAGCTCGTCAACCTCTTGACTTGAGCAAGGCGTGGTCACAGATGAATATTGAGTTTATTTGGAGGAATGACTGATCACTCCTGGATGGTAAACGAGATTTTTCATTCAAGAGAGCAGGAAGATGCGCCTGATGCTTGTGACACTGGAGCAGGGGAAGAGAGGAAACTGCCCTGTGTTCCGTACTATCTTTTAGTGCATGTGAACAAGTTGTATTGCTTGACCTGTAAATGGAACATTCACTTTCTGTGTTTGCTATTGTTCTCACTCCCAATCTAGCTGAGTTGATTGGTTTAAGTTGGTCATGGTGTAGCAGATGGCCTGATAGATACGGATACGTGCTGAAAAGGATGGAAGGCAATAGAATTGAGATTAACTTGGTAGTAGGAGTAATCAGTAAGCATGTATGGCGGCGAATTGGAGACAGCAAATTATAGAGTAGCTTTACACTGTCTTCAGTCACAACCATTGTATCTTCGGCGTCCCACTCCAAATCGTTGAAGTATTCTGCAGCGCCAGGCATGTGAGCAACACGGGCACAAACTGCGTGAAAAGCGAGGAAGCGAGAGTCGGGCAGCACCAGATGCACATGTCTAAACTTTGGCTTCTTGAGCATCTCATTGACCTTGAAATGAGGTTGCCGATTGACATGGGAGAATGTGCCCAGAATGCCGTCTCGGATGACCCGCACTTCATACATATCATCCTGAGAAACATGCCAATAGGTACTTAGGATGATGGTTGACAATACATAGTGCCGATTTACGCACCTCATCTGTCTCATCAAATCAGAGTCCAAGGCGTTCAAAGGATTCATGGAGTGGCTGGACGAGCGATAGTAAGTTGCACAGACTGTGCACACCTCCCTTCTCAACTAGTACATCCACCAAATGACCAAGATGGAATTGGGTGAGGATTTCCATGACTCCGGAAGAAGGGGTGTCTGAAAGATGCAAATAAAGCTCTGAGGTAGTCATATGAGCTCAAACATACCTGCGAGTGAAGGCCAGGCATACTCCCATCCTTGTTGGGTTGAACTGGATCACCAATCCCTTCCATGATCGATTGGCTCAAAATATGGCAAGTTTCAACTGTGGCTTCATAGCCGCGGCTTTTGACGAGCAATTCATTGAGTTCCATATTTCGTTCAAGTGAGTTTGTGTCCCAAACACCGGTGATCATGCACTGATAGCCATCTCGGGCCAACGCCTAAGATAGCATGGGCCAGGAGAGGACAACTAGCTTCTGATGCTTGGCGTACCTTTTCCCTTGCGGTCTGGTAGTCGTTTCCTGAAGCCTCCATTGTTTGCGCTAGCATGTCTTCCAGTCTGGTGGGGGACTGCCGAGAGGGATGAGTAGAATGAGGAGTGGGTACTTTGTTGCTCAACCTGACTGTACAAAAGATCAGGACGCACATGAAGACACACTGAAGGTGCCACAAACATGCGTATATTAGGCGATCGCGGAGTAATTGTCCAACTTGATATATCACATCTTGCGCGGGCATTGACCCTGACAGAATTTGGCTAACTACTTCACCCGTGGGGAGATCTCCTAAGACGCAATATTTGTTGTGCAGGTGGATAAGAAAGCCTCCAGCAACCCTTGCACAGATTATCTTCTGCTTCGCCGACTCCTCGTGGGTTGAGGCGTATGTATCAAGGGCATTGCGTTCAGCATGGATAATGAGATCATAGCAGTTCATATACTTCTCAGTGAAGCCTTTGGTAGCGGAGCTGTGAGCAGAAGGGAGAGCAGACTCATCGAAGGAGACTTTGTTCATGACAGGAATTAAGGCTTGAGCGCCTAAAAATTAGCTACTAAGCGCCTTCGATAATTGACAGCTACAGTCAGGGGGCGGGCAGCAGAGTTTTCTGTGAAATCAGCTGGTGCGGACCCCCGTGTGAACTTTGAGTTGCCGACAGCGGCTAGCATAGGACCCCCCAAAGTACTATAAGAACCTGGGTACCAAATTTTTTTGAAATTTCAAGAATTTGTCCAGACTAGGCTCCACTGTCGTGGACTGCACCTTGCTTGGGAAAGGATACATTTCACTTAAGTTGAGACTGAAACTGGTATGGCAGGAACTAGGGAATGATGCAGGATTTATGTATTCTGAATGTCTTTGTCAAAGTGTAGATTTTAGTTCAAGTATCAAGCAAAAGACAGTGCACATAAGGTGCACTGCAAAATATATGCACTTCAAAAGCCTTGTTAATTCGAGTATTGAGGAAATAACGCGGTGTAGCACACAAGGTGTGCCGCAAAGCGCAGAGTTCACTTCAATTGAAGCCCAAGATGTTTGTAAATGTTCTGCAAAAGTATGAGGCCAAGCACAGCCAAAATGTGCCTGCACAAAAGTACTTAAATTCCGGAGTGCAATAGATTTTGCAAGCAAGGTGATTTTCCCTCAGGTCAGTCAGAAATTTGGGCATTTTGTCTGGACAAGATATCAAGGTCAGTATTTTTGAAAAAAAAAACATCTTTGTGTAGCACTAGAGGTGTATTTGGGAAGGAACTACTTTGAATCTATAAATCCTCAGTTGGATTCTTCTTGGACTGCTTTTTGAACAATGCAATTGCTTGAAAAACATTAGTCCTGTCCCTCTGTATATCAATGAAGATTTTGTCATCTTCTGTACAAAGTTGGACTTGAAGGTTAGTATCACTACCAGTGATAATTGGCTGCTGAATATGCACAACCACTTAGATTGATGGGAGAAGAACATACAACACTGGTGTTAGAATATAAGCACATTATATTCAGCAGCAATGGCAGTAAGAGATAGAGTGCACACAGCACTGTAGTTGATCACACAGATCAAACGATGAAGGAGTAGAGAGGACTACTTGTTCAATGAGATGAATATTACAAGTTTATATACAAGTCCAAGGTAGATGATGTCATGTTACAGCTAAACATAGTGAGAGAGAAAGGAAGTACAATACAATGTATCCTACTGGTAGTCCTAGAGTAATAGTACACGGTGGTGAGATTGATAACATGATAGTGAGATAGTAGTTAGTAATATGAGAATGATGTTCCATAGATGGTATGTGAGTCATCAAATGTTAACACACCCCCTCAAACCTTTGTTAGTCCCATGGTCGCAGCGAAGTGTTTGGCCTTAAGCAATGGAAGCGCCTTTGTAAAAATGTCTGCAGTCATTTCTGTAGGGCAGTAAACAAGGCGGATCTTTCCTTCTTCAATGACATATTGGATGAAGTGGTATCAAATGTCAATGTGTTTGGTTCGGGCATGGAAGCGATCATCTTTAGCAAGAGCGATGGCAGATTGGTTGTCAGCTTTGAGAATGATTGGTTTTGTGATAGGGCCAAACAATTCCGATACGAGGTTCCTAAACCAAATTGCTTCCTTGGCAGCATGAGTCAAAGCAATATACTCAGCTTCCATGGTTGATAATGAGATGGTATCTTGTCACTTGGATGACCATGACACTGCTCCTCCGTTGAGCATAAAAATGTATCCTGAGATAGCATGTCTATCCTTCTGGGACATTCCATCAGTGTCCATATATCCTTCGATTTCTGCTTGTGTTCCTCTGAATGTAAGCCATAGGTCTTGGGTGTATTTGAGATATGCATAAACACGCTTTACAGCATTCCAGTGAGTGATTCTGGGGTTTTGCAAAAATTTTGCCAGTATGCCAACTGCATAAGTGATGTCAGGTTGAGTTGCTACTGATAAGTATTGTAGGGCGCCAACAGCTTCTCTGTAGGGCTTGTCGCGCATATGTGTGATATCAATGGTAGTTGGCATCTGGTCCTTGGTAAGATGTATGTGTGGATCGAATGGGATAGAAAGAGGTTTGACATCTGCAAATCCATATCGAGATAGGATCACGTCAATATATGCCCTTTGGGATAAGTGAACGGACTGTGTATGTAGAGATCGGTGGATCTCAATCCCTAATAACCAGTGGATCTCTCCAGAATCGACAACTTCGATCTGGTCCCTGATCTTCTTCTTTAGAGTGTCCATTACAGCCATGGTCTTGGTAAGCATAGTCATATCATTGACGTGGATGAATATGATACAAAAAGGGTCAGTTCGATAGAATACGGCATGATCGAAATTTGACCTGGTGAGACCGACTGATGCCATGATCTCCCTGAATCTCATGTACCAACGGCGACCGGCTTGTTTAAGTCCATAGAGGGTGAGCTTGAGTTTAAGCACTTGTCCTGCTTTAACTTCAATGTCAACACCTGGTGGTGCCTTCATGTATATTTGTTCATTGTCGTCCAGTTTGCCATATAGATATGCCGATTTGACGTCCATCTGGTGGATGAACATGTTCTGTTCGGCTCCTGTGCTGAAAATGGCTTGAGCTGCTGCTAGCTTTGTGACTGATGCAAACGTTTCATCTGGGAAGTAGTCAACGTCTGGTATCTGGTTAAAACCTCATACCACTAGTCTGGCTCTGTGGCCTGTGACTTTTCCTTGTTCATCTCGCTTGGTCCTGAATACCCATTTCGATGTAAGGATGTTGGCATCATCAGGTGGAATGACAATATCATATGTCCTGTGCTGTTGTAATCTTCAGATTTCCTCATTTATGGCTTCCCGCCATTGAGACCAATTGGGATGTCACATTGCTTCTGCAACTGATGTGGGGTCAGCGATGATTTCACCTGTTACTTGACCAAGTGATGCTGTAAGATGCCTGAGCTCTTGGTTTGGCTCTCCAAGTCCATTGATGATGTCCTGGATTTTCTTGGTTGGCTTCCTGACGTGTTTTCCTGTGATTATATCTGGGTTGATGGGTTCGGCTATTTCCTCTGGTACTGGTATGATAGGCTGTTCCGACTTGGTGACCAATGTTTCCAGATTTCCCAAATCCTGATCCTCCCCCTCAATGGGTTGGATCTGCCTATCAGAGAATTGCACATTACATTCAGTTGAGACTGTGTGGCGATCTGGCCAATAGATGAAGTAACCACTGGACTCTGGCTCAATGCCTACCCATTGTCCTTCCTGCACTTGAGGGTCAAGCTTCCCAGGCTCCTTTTCACGTTTAACATAGACTGTGCTTCCAAAGATGTGGAAGTTGGAGATGTTGGGAATTGTGCCAAATTGTTTCTCCCATGGAGAAATCATACCATTTGCCTTCTTCGGTGTCCTGTTCCATACATACACTGTGTAACCCATCATGAATCCCCAAAGCCATTTCAGTAATCCAGATGATATCATGAGGCTGTGCACTCCATTGAGTAGCGTCCTGTGACTGCATTCCGCTATGCCATTGTGTTCCAGAGTGTCGTGTACCATAAGGCTACGTTTAGTGCCTAATCATTCCAGGTATACTGTGAATTCACCACTGAGAAATTCTCCCCCTTGATCAGAGTGGAGTTTCTTGACCATTATGCCATATTGAGTTTGGAGACTGGTTTGGAGTATTACATATTGAGCAAAAGCCTCATCTTTGCCCTTCATTAATGGTTCCTCCAACCAACTGGTAGCTTCGTCGATGACTGTCAATGCATAGACATAATGATTTAGCATCTGGACAGAAGCTGGTCCCCATACATCCATGTGAAATACATCACCAAATTTTTCCGCTCTCAGAAATGTTCGAATTTTGAAGATCGGAAATCTGGCAGCTTTAGCAACATGCAAGTTCAGCATTTGGGTTCTTCCATCTGCTTAGGATCTAACTTGATCCCGTGAACCTGGTTTGATTTGAACATATGTTTGACATAAGCATAGTTCTGGTGGCCAGCGATGCAGTGTGCTTCATAAAGCGAAACCATCCTGGTTGCCTTCCCAGTATAGGCATATTCTGTGCTCAGAATCTGGTAGAGACCATTTGTTTTGGGAACGATTCCAATTGTCTCCCCCTGTCTATTGATAATCTTAAGAGTTCCATCTTTGATTACCATCACATATCCTGCATCATCGAGTTTACCCAATGATACAAGTGTGTTAGG